GTGTAATGAATCTAATATATATGAAAGTCTAATGTCTAAAGACATTACTGACATTAGTCTAAAGTCTAATGTCAGTACATTACAGACAATAATGAACTTTATCACATTATGCAAATTTTTTGAGAAGGAACTGTATGTGGGTAGGAGGTGGAGTTGGGAGTCCCAGCTTGTCCAGGAAGAAGCTGGGACCAGATACAGATACATTGATAGCATAATCTATTAAACACAGTTTGTGACTTGTTAAATCTTTATTTTATTTGTGGATAAAGAAATTGTCCTTCCTTTCACAAAAATGGAAATGAAATTAAAATGTACTAAACTGTGACATTTAACTTGCTGGCTAAGTAGCTCTGAGTGCTCAGCTCCCCTAAACCTCTAAACTTACACTCACCTAAAGGATTATTAGGAACACCTGTTCAACCTCTCCTTAATGCAATTATCTAATCAACCAATCACATGGCAGCTGCATCAATGCATTTAGGGGCGTGGTCCTGGTCAAGACCATCTCCTGAACTCCAAACTGAAGGACAGAATGAGAAAGAAAGGTGATTAATACCCAAATTCCACTACCTCCGCTCCGCTGCGCTCCGCTCCGACACGAACGCCGGAGCAAAATCGGTCCCGTTCTAGTCAATCAGAGCAATTCCACTACTGCGGCCGTGCTCCGGCAGTGCGGCGCCCTCTGTTCCGGCGTCCGGCAAAAATAGAATCGATCCTATTTTTGCTGGACGCCGGAGCACCTCCGCAGTAAATGGACAGAAATCACAACGGCCCAACAGGAACAGGAGCAAGCACATCTTCCGTTTTTCACAATAAATCGCTAAACAAAAGGCGTTTTTTGTTTCATATGCACAGGTTTAACAACTTTTAACAACTATCAATGGCGGCTGAAGTTTAAATGCACAAAAATAAGCCATAAATACAGTTTCTACTATCAAAGTGGTCACACTTTGTTGATCCAAACACTGCTGATCTCTCAACACAATGATGGGCAGATTAAACAGCTCATTTCCGATGCTTCTCCCGCACAACGGGAGTTTGGATCAAACTTCCGCGTTTATTGCTCGGACTGTATCGCAAGATCTCGAAAATCCCGCGCATGCTTGTTTGCCCCCCTCAGGTCTCCGCACCGGAGCGGAGCCGTTGTAGAGCGGGTACCAGTAAAAATTGAGCTCGGAAGCGAGCGGCTGCGGAAGGCGGGGGCGGACCGGAGCGGAGCGGAGGTAGTGGAATTTGGGGGTTAAGCTATTTTGAGCGTGGCATGGTTGTTGGTCCCAGACGGGCCGGTCTGAGTATTTCACAATCTGCTCAGTTACTGGGATTTTCACCCACAACCATTTCTAGGGTTTACAAAGAATGATGTGAAAAGGGAAAAACATCCAGTATGCGGCAGTCCTGTGGGCCAAATGTCTTGTTGATGCTAGAGGTCAGAGGAGAATGGGCCGACTGATTCAAGCTGATAGAAGAGCAACTTTGACTGAAATAACCACTCGTTACAACCGAGGAACGCAGCAAAGCGTTGGTGAAGCCACAACACGCACAACCTTGAGGCAGACGGGCTACAGCAGCAGAAGACCCCACCAGGTTCCACTCATCTCCACTACAAATAGGATAAAGAGGCTACAATTTGCGCCAGCTCACCAAAACTGGACAGTTGAAGACTGGAAAAATGTTGCCTGGTCTGATGAGTCTCCATTTTTGTTGAGACATTCAAATGGTGGAGTCAGAATTTGGCATAAAAAGAATGAGAACATGGATCCATCATGCCTTGTTACCACTGTGCAGGCTGCTGGTGGTGGTGGTGTCATGGTGTGGGGAATGTTTTCTTTGCACACTTTAGGCCCCTTGGTGCCAACTGGGCCTGGTTTAATGCCACGGGCTAGCTGAGCATTGTTTCTGACCATGTCCATCCCTTCATGACCACCATGTACCTATCCTCTGATGGCTACTTCCAGCAGGACAATGCACCATGTCATAAAGCTCCAATCATGTAAAATTGGTTTCTTGAACATGACGATGAGTTCACTGTACTACAACGGCCCCCACAGTCACCAGATCTCAACCCGATAGAGCATCTTTGGGATGTGGTGGAACGGGAGCTTCGTGCCCTGGATGTGCATCCCACACATCTCCATCAACTGTAAGATGCTATCCTAGCAATATGGCTGACATTTCTAAAGAATGCTTTCAGCACCTTGTTGAATCAATGCCACGTAGAATTACGGCAGTTCTGAAGGAGAAAGGGGGTCAAACACTGTATTAGTGTGGTGTTCCTAACTATTCTTTGGGTAAGTGTATATAATTATAAAAGGACAAGGTCAATTTTATTTATAGAGCGCATTTACAGCAGCAAAGCTACACCCAAAGCGCTGTACAAGGTACAACAAACCAAAAGAGATTTAAATAATTATTAAACACTGAAAAGTATCGAATATTGGTAGCGTTAGGTACCGGCATCGATTTGTAGGTACCGGGAATTGGTACCATATCGATTCAAATGTCAAAGGTACCCATCCCTACTTCCAGAGGAGCCCTGTGAGAGGAAGGTTTACTTTGCTTTGGACCCCAAAATGTCTTTATACAGCACTGGGTATGGGACTGAGTTTTAAAGATGATCTGAACTACAGCAGAGCATGTCAGGCACGAATAAAAGACAAAGTACCAGAGATAATATAAGAAAGATCTTTTCTATAGCGCCTCTCAAGAAAAAAATCACGAAGCGCTTCACAAAAACAAAAATATAAAAAAGAATTTAGAAAATTAAAAATATATTTAAAATCGGACACAAAATTGATAATTGTGATAAAAAAATGTAAAGAAAGAGAGAGAGTGAATAGGAAAGAGGGAAATCAGTGGATCCTGAGGAAGGCGGAATAGGTGGGGAGAGCCGAATAAAGAGAGAGAGGTGAAGAAGGTCATACAAAAGCCAGCTTGAACAAGTGAGTCTTCAGCTGCTTTTTAAAGGAGACCACTGAGTCCACTGATCTCAGGCTCAGGGGGAGAGAGTTCCAGAGTCTGGGGGCCACTGCAGTAAATGATCTGTCACCTTTGGTCTTTAGCCTGGTGCTGCACAACCAGTAGGCTTTGGTCACTGGACCTCAGGGACCTGCTGGGGGTGTAGGGACTAAGAAGATCACCAATGTAAGATGGTGCTTGTCCATGTAAGGCCCTATAGACCAGAACCAGGATCTTGAAATTAATCCTGAAGTTGACTGGCAGCCAGTGAAGCTGGAGGAGAAGCGGGGTGATGTGGGTGTGTTTGGAGGACTTGGTCAGAAGCCGAGCACAGGCATTCTGAACCACCTGTAGACGGTTCAGGGAGGTTCTGCTCAGACACGTGAAAAGAGAGTTACAGTAGTCTAAGCGTGAGGAGATGAAGGTGTGGAGAACTGTCTCAAGTTCAGAGCGGGACAGAATGGGACTCAGCTTAGCAACGTTCCTGCGATGGAAGAAGGAAGAGCGAACAAGAGAACTGACATGAGAATCCAGGGTGAGAGCTGGGTCAAAGGTCACGCCAAGATTCCTGACAGATGGTTTGGTGTGAGAAGCAAGCTGACCAAGAGAGTCTCTGATTTTGGGAACCAGCTTGTCTGGGGCACAGATGAGGATCTCAGTCTTATCTACATTCAGCTGTAGAAAGTTTCCACCATCCAGGTCTTGACAGAGTCTAAGCAGGTGTGTAACTGCTGCAGCTTAGACATCTCATGGGGCTTAAAGGAGATGTACAGTTGGATGTCATCTGCATAAAGATGGTAGGAGATTCCTTTGAAGGAGCTCAGGATGTGCTGAAGAGGAAACAGATGAGGAAGAGCAGAGGTCCAAGCACAGAAACTTGTGGGACACCATGGGTAAGAGAGGTGGTGGAGGACCTAAACTTGGAGACGGCCACAGAAAAGGAGTGCTCAGAAAGATTAGAGGAGAACCACTCCAGAGCAGTTCCTGATAGGCCTACCCAGTCTCCCAGCCTCTCCAGTAGCGGGTGATGGTAAACAGTAGCCACGTTTACATGCGCATATTTAATCGGATTGAATGCCCATTCAGATTGAAAATTCTGCATGTAAACATGTCAATCAGAATGTTCTGATCCGATTCGGCCCGATCGGATTCAAATTTCAATCCGATTGAGAGAGGTGGTTTATTCCGTTCTTCATTCCGATTGACGTGCATGTACACAGCCATTCGGATTGTTGGGGTAAAATAATGCCCACTGCGCATGTGTGCAACAGCCAGCGGGCCTCTCCGCTGTCATTTGGACTGCCTGACTTCAAAAATGACGGTGTAATTAACGAGCGGCGGCTTTTAAATCCGACGACAAGCCGTCCCCGTTTCAGTAATATTTAATTCAGAACTTGCATTTTGTGGAAGTAAAATAAAAATCTGATTATTGCACAAATCATTCGACAAACATGTTCAAATCTGTACTGGAAATACGCAGGTTTATCGTGGGGGTTGCAGCGCACGGATCCCCGTTTCTGTCAGCTTTGAACGCAGCAGCTTCTGCAGCAGGTGATGGAGACGTGCTTGTAAAGAAGACAGGATAATACGGGTATTACAGACCTGATTGGAGGCTTATGTTGGGTAGGAAAACGTCCTCGGTTAAATACTCTGGACGACAGTAAAGTCCGTGTTAGAAGCACGTAAACGCAGATGACCTGAGATGCGGTTCGTTAATGATGAACACAGGCTTCTAAACTCTCTGAACATCTTCTGTTATTTTGTTTGAACAGATTTTTCTCAACAGTTTCAGCTGATCGTCACATGTTATTTATAATAAGCCACAACAGAGCTCAGTAATAAAACATGAGGCTAACCCCCCACCCCCGCTCTGTGCCGCAGCTCAGCGCAACAGCTGTCAATTCAGACCTGCGGACCAGCTGATCAAGAGACAGACATAACCTTCCCTTATTTTAATCAACAATAAAATGCAGCAAAGCATATATCTGCAGTTATTTACTGAAGAAAACGTAACTTCTATGAGCTAAATAAAAATATTAAATTGAATAAATAGATCAGGAAAGCAGGAAGAATAGTTATTTCTGTTTTTATATTTTTCTTTTCGTTTCATGGCGTTTGTTTACAATTTTTCTTTCGTGAAAGGCAACTCTGCGCATGCTCAACCTATTTAATCGGATTAAATGCTTGATGCGTATGTACGCACGGCATGATCGGATCATTTCAGTTCGTGTCCATGTGAACAGAGATTCGGAAATTCCGATCAACCAAGATTTCAATCGGATTGAGGAAATTTGCCACATGAAAACGCAGCTAGTGTCAAAGGCTGCAGTCAGGTCCAGCAGGACCAGAACAGAGCGGACATGAACAGTTGTATCCTGTGATGGCGCCACTTTGAGAATGTTACTGTGGCTGTGCGAAGGACACAGCTGCCTGTGGAGTGCATCAATGATCAGCACTCTGCATCCTCTCCACTCAAAAGAGCTACAATGCACAAACTACATTGATCATTTCTGGAACTTGTATAGTGAGTTCCTTCGGTCTCATGTGGGCACTCATGTGATCGGCAAAAATTGCTTTACGGCTAAATCCCTGGCCACAAATCTTACAGGAAAAAAGGTTTCCGTCCTGTGTGGACTCTCATGTGACGGTTTAAAGTTACCTTTTGGTGAAATCTTTCACCACAGAGTTCACAGGCAAAAGGCTTCTGTCCTGTGTGGACTCTCATGTGATTGTTTAAAGTTGTCTTACGGGTAAATCTTTTCCACAGGGCACACAGGCAAAAGGCTTTTCTCCTGTGTGGACAGTCATGTGACTGTTTAAAGCTCCCTTATGTCGAAAATTTCGACCACAGATTTCACAGGCAAAAGGCTTCTGTCCTGTGTGGACTCTCATGTGACGGTTTAAAGTTACCTTTTGGTGAAATCTTTCACCACAGAGTTCACAGGCAAAAGGCTTCTGTCCTGTGTGGACTCTCATGTGATTGTTTAAAGTTGTCTTACGGGTAAATCTTTTTCCACAGGGCACACAGGCAAAAGGCTTTTCTCCTGTGTGGACAGTCATGTGACTGTTTAAAGCTCCCTTATGTCGAAAATTTCGACCACAGATTTCACAGGCAAAAGGCTTCTGTCCTGTGTGGACTCTCAAGTGACTTTTTAAAGTTTCCATATGTCGATAATTTTGACCACAGATTTCACAGGCAAAAGGCTTTTGTCCTGTATGGACTCTCATGTGAATGTTTAAATGTGTCTTACTGCTAAATCTTTTTTCACAAAGCTCACAGGCAAAAGGCTTCTGTCCTGTGTGGACTCTCATGTGACTGTTTAAATTGACCTTTTTGGCAAATTTTTTTCCACAGAGCTCACAGGCAAAAGGCCTTAGTCCTGTGTGGACTTTCATGTGATTGTTTAAAGTTGTCTTCCGGGTCAATCTTAAACCACAGAGCTCACAAGTAAAAGGCTTTAGTCCTGTGTGAACTTTCATGTGATTGTTTAAAGTTGTCTTCCGGGTAAATCTTAAATCACAGAGCTCACAAGTAAAAGGCTTTAGTCCTGTGTGAATTTTCATGTGATTGTTTAAAGTTGCCTTCCGGGTAAATCTTAAATCACAGAGCTCACAGGTAAAAGGCTTTAGTCCTGCATGGACTGCTTTGTGACTGTTTGAATTTCCCTTATGGGTACATTTTTTACCACAGAGCTCACAGGTAAAAGGCTTTTGTCCTGTGTGGACTCTCATGTGAATGTTTAAATTTGGCTTGTGGGCAAATTTTTTACCACAGACCTCAAAGGCAAAAGGCTTTAGTCCTGTGTGGACTTTCATGTGACTACTTAAAGTTGCCTTACGGGTAAATCTTGAACCACAGAGCGTACAGGTAAAAGGCTTCTGTCCTGTGTGGACTTTTCTGCATGAGTCTACATGTTGCTTCATTGTAACACACTTTTTCTTAACCAAACATCCTAAAGACCTTCTTGCTGAATGACTTGTCAGTCTCACGTGTTTCTGGAGAGACCACTTGTGGAGAAATAGTTTACCACATTCATGGCAGCTAAAGGGTCTGTTGACATCCTTAACATCTGACTCAGAAGACCTGCTCTTATTCCAGCCAATATCTTCGTCTCCAGTTTCAGGCCCAGTGTCTAACAGGAAAGAGTCTAGGTTCACACCATCATCCTCTTCATCATTTCCACTGACTTCAGTCTCTGATGAATCGGATATCTGTTCATGAAGGTTCAGATCTGGGTTCATGCCAGTTTCTGCTCCTCCATCGGTTTTTGCCGCCATCTGCTCAGTTGAGCTGCTAGTTGGAACATCTCTGTCTTCTAATTGCTGCTGATGAAGTTGTGAGAACAGTGGTTTCTCTTCATCTTCCTCACTCTTTATAGAAACTGTAATGAAAAAAGTAGAAATCTATAAAATAAAAACAAGCCGTAAAATCAGGGCAAAAATACCTAGTGGTGTTTGTGCAATCAGCAATATACATAACCAGTTGTGGCAAGGAGGAGAAACGAGGGCCCGAGCGGGATATGATCCACAGAATCCCGGGTGAGAGTCATGTGCTAACCAATCAGCCAAATGGACATCCCCTTGGCCAAGTAGCCAGGGCACATGATCAATCGGGAGACCGTGACACTCACCCTGTCACACAGTATTGGGTAACATATTGCTCGCTTTGGTAACACATTACTTTTTACCAGTGACTAATAATCTAATGAGTTACCTTTTAAGGTAACTCTGTTATACTTATCCTTGTGGGGGTGCCTCATGGCTCAGTCTTGGGCCTCCTCCTGTTTTCCATTCATCTGCATCCCTTGGGACAGATTTTTCCGCTTCATATCATCAGCTATCACATCTATGTTGATTATTGTCAGATTTACTTGGCAATGAAAGAACCAGACGCGGATATTCAAGTGTTAAATTGGCTTTCTGATGTGACGGAATGGTTAGCTTCAGACTTCTTGAGTGTAAATGAGACAAAGATAGAGTCCATTGTTTTCAAGCCTAGAAATCTTTCACGCGTCACCAAAATTGACTGGTATTTATGGTTTTTACTTTTCCTAGTGTTTATATTTTTACATTTGAATTGTAGTTTTTCTGGTTGTTTGTGGCAACTGTCGAAGGGTGTGTGTGTCACCATTATTTAGATGTTTGTTTATATAATTCTTTTGGCTTGGTACTCAACAACACTGTTGGCATCCATTTTTTCCGCCTAGTTGGAAGCTGGAACGCAAAACGAGCCCATTATGTAATTTCCTGCTTGGAAATTCCGAGTTCCGATGACAACTAGAATGCACAATAACACTACTAAATGACCCCAATTCACTGATTATTCTAATATTACTGTTGAATCACTTCAGTCACTAATGCAGCGGTACTCAGTAGGCGTTGTGTCTTGAACCGCCACGCCAGCACCACCCCGGCCCAACAATCCAGCTACAGCCCCCCAATCCCAGACCTCGTGCTTCCAGGGTGTTTTGTTGAGTAGCCCTCAGACCATTACATTTGAGTAATCCTGCACTAATGTAATCTGACTCAGAACTTATTTGTCTGCGTGATGATATCAGAGATGATAACAAGATGGGGGTGTCACAGTCGCAACTATTTTTCAGTCTGTGTTTCAACTATCCATGGTACTTTTGATATGTGCTACTTTGGGAAATGCACTTGCCCAGACCGATTACTAGGCTGTTTACCTGAAGCGACGCTCTATCTTTGGAAGTTGTTGTATAGAGCTCCGAGAGTTGGCGTCACTTCTCCCGGCATGCAACAGTTTAAATCGAAACGGCACCATATTGGCAGGCAGAAGTCTGCAGCTGGACTATTTGTTATTGTCAGAAAACTCAATAAACGGGAAATATGGTAGATTCCTGTTGTGCCCCAGGATGCAGAACAGACACGGACGACATAAGGAATGAGCCATCTACAGGATTCCCCAAGATCTGGAGCGCCGCAAACGTTGGATCATTGTAATAAAACGCACTAGTGACCGGGCTGAAATGAAGCTGTAAAGGTTTTCACTTATGCAGCGACCACTTCATATCAGGTACTTAAACCAACGTTTCCTCAACTGTGTATGGTATTTATTTTAAATGCTTTTATTACGATTCTTAGTGGGCTTCCTAAACTCATTTTGGCGTGGCTTTTTCTGTCTTATTACTCATAGCAACAAGTAAACATCACGTAAAACGTTGACTCGTGAGTTCTGCGTGCTGCCGTTTACGTGTTTTATGATCACAGCAATTAACCGGCTAAGCTGTATTTAATTTTTAAGCAATGGTTGATCAATTGTCAGATCACACATAAAAAGCACTTTGGATTGCTATTATCTGTCTCACCGAGACAGATCTCAGACAGATCCTGAGACGCTCCTGCCTGAAATATTTATTTTATTCACGGAAAAAAATCTAACTAGTGATTTCTCTTGGCGTTCAGTTTATACATTCAAACAGCACAGCACTCTATTTAAACTACTTACATGTAAATCTGTTATTTGTCCATCCATCCATTTTCATCCGCTTATCCGGAGTCGGGTTACGGGGGCAGTAGCGTCGAGAGGCCCAGACTTCCCTCTCCCCAGCCACTTGGGCAAGCATCCTCCGAGGGAATCCCAAGGGGTTCCCTGGCCAGGTCCGGTAAGAGGTCCGCTCCGACAGCTTCTGGCGTTTTTAAAAAGTATCGCAGGGGCACGGTATGGGTCGGAGATGTTTAGTCTATTTAATTTCTGACTATATAAAATGACTTCTTCGGTTTTAATGTGTGAAGTAAACTCCGACAAAGTAAAATCCAAGACGATCCCGTTCAATTTGTTTACATTTGTTGCCTGCCAACATGGCGTCTACTCTCTGAGAGTCACGTGATGTCCGGAGCTCTATTACGGCTTGCTGTATGTTTACCTGACAGTTAGCTTGTACATGGATTGTAAATTAACGTTATTATACTGTAAACAGGAAATGTGTCCCATTGTTTACCGTCATTCATGGCAATTATGACAAACACAGTCTTTTTTATAAATAAATCATGACAAACACTGTATATTCTTGTTAATAATTATACTGCAGTTCTTTATTTTTGAGTAATATCACATGTTTACAATAAACCGTGCTTATTAAGTGTAACGTGATGAAGGAGCCATTTCTACCCTAACAGCTGTTTCCTTTTGACACAGTGCCAGAGTGCATGAAACAGCCAAGGTCATGCATTCACTTCTAAACTGTTTACATTCCAGCAGTGAAGACAGAAGAACGAAGAATGAACTCTTTTCTTTTAATTAATCAAAGAACTCTATTTTAATAAAGCTAATCAAAACAACTGTTAGTCAATAATAACCATGTGACCGATCTGTGAAATCACAATGTTATGATTAATGTTTTAATAAGTAAATGACGTAGCCACTAGTCACCTGATACACAAGATAAATAATCATGACACATTCTGGTCGCAAATCCAATCAGAACCTTCACATCTGAAGCGTGGCAGAGTCTCTGTAGTGTTTATTTAATCTGTCAGCTGTGATTCGTTCAGAATCGTAAACATCAAGATTAATAAAACAGCCCAACGCCATTTTGAGTTCAGTATTCAGCCAGATCTCCAGATCCCCTGAAGTTCATCATTGCTAAGTGGAAACGGACCGGCCATCTGTACTTTTTACTTTTAAGCTGAGAACTGCCAAGCTGGGAAATCCTGTCATTGTTATCAACAAAACAACGGTTCCTTCAGAATAAAAGCTGAACTCGCTGACCCAAAGGGGTGTCCCTTTGACGCTGTGAAACACCTGTCGCTTTTACCTGGAGACTATCCAAAGACTGGCTTGTCGTGCTGAAGACGTTGTTTCATCGGCTCCAGTACCAGTGGAAGGTCGTGCACCTGGCAGCCTGATCTAAGACGGAGGTCTCATGACGGGTAATGTAGAGCGGCACAGATGGCGTCTCATGTTGTTTTCTGACCACGGTTCAAACGTTGATCAGTTAGGAGCAAAACATCATCTCCCACTCAGACTCGCTTCTCCAGAACGGAGGTTCTGAACTGACATCACACCAACACACACTCCACCTCACATTCTATTCCATGAGCATCCATCACTAGAAAGTTAGTCCTGTTAAACTGTTTAAAATAATTTAGATAATAAATTTGCTTAAACGTTTGGAGGTCTCTCTCTCTTCTCTTGTCTCTCAGTTCATGCAAAGTGTTTATTTTAAATTTCCCTGTAATAAAAAGAACCACTCTTCTGATTTAAATAGCCCAGTGTCCAGTAGATGGGGTCCCTACCAGATAGGGATCTTTAATGTCTCTGGTCATTAACTAAAATGTAACTCTTTATCCTCCATTACATAAGCCTGTTACTATACTGAAAACAAGAGCAAAACTCTCGTAACACGCTGTGGTAGGAATATTTAACGGGGAAGCACGGATAGTCAGAACACCGGCTCTGCAGATGGATGAGCCATCATCCTGAATTTGTCCTTTAGCAGCTTTACGAATCTAAAGCATTCCCTCAGAGGAGACTTCAAGCTCTTCCTAGGTGGAAACGGAGCGGCCCCGGTGCTTGTTGTTGCTGGTTTTGCTGCACAAGACCGTTTAGTTTGGCTTTAATTTTGATCCGCTAATTAATTTTTTTTTAAATTTGCTGTGATGGAGACATCTTTAGGGTGGTCTAACTGCAGCGTTCACACCGTGGTTAATACTCAAATCAGGTAATCCTTGCAACCCTACCTGCAGTCTCAGATGAACCAGATGGCTGTTCATGATGGTTCAGATCTGGGTTCCTGCTACTTCCTGCTGTCATCTGGTCAGCTGAGCTGCTGGTTGGAACACCTCTGTTGTCTAGTTGCAACTCATGAAGGTGTGACATCAGAGGTTTCTCTTCATCCTCACTCTTTATAGAAACTGCAGTGAAAGTATATAAAGTTAAAACAGGCAGTATGAAAAGAGGACAAAATACCCAGTGGTGTTTGTGCAATCTGCAATACCGTAAATCCTCTAATATTGGCCTGTATTCAATTAACTGCCGGGTACCACATTTTGGCCGGTGTCGGAGTCGGCGGAGGTGAATAATGGCCGTTTTTTTATTGTGGCCGGGTGGAATGTGGTAACAAGCAAGTACGGGGGACGGTTGTGTCATCCGTCTCACTTTTGATTTGCCAGTGATAGACCGCGAGGGTAACTTTAACTGTGCGGAGACGAAGAGGAGGCGAACATTTGATATCAAGTTCAAAGAGAAGGTGCTGATTATGCTGCAGAACACTCTGGGGAGCAGTAGGGGTTGTATGAACTAGTCACTAGTCGACTTCACCGCTCTATAGTGAAGTTTTATGCCTGTCATCGACTAGTCGCTGTCACGTGATTATGACCGGCAAGATGCAGTCCACGGAAAAGACAGCAGCCTGCTGTCAGCAGGTGACAAGCTCCTGCACGTTGGGAGGCAACGCGCTGTGCCAGAGCGTCGGTACTGACACCCGCTGTAAAACGAACATTTAACCAAATTGTGACCTTTACCCTCTTGCAATTTAACCTTCCCCACACCCCATCCTAACCTTAACCAGCTTGCGCATGCAAAGCTCTGATCGTTGGGACGCTCCAGACATCTGCTTCCTGAGCACAGCCACAGTAACATTATCAAATTAGGTGTCGCCACCTCAAAAACTAATTTAACACGCGATCGTTCATGTCGGCTCATTTCCTTTTATGTTTTCTGTCTTTTATTCTTTTATTTGTGCCTGATGCATTTCGCTGCTGTGGAGCGGGGTGTTGAGGTTATGCCCTCATGAGGAAATTACTATGCAGTATTTTCTCCAAAAAACTGTCATCTGCGCCCTGAAGCGTAAATAAATAAAGCATATTGAGATCAGCACCAGCAAGGACCTCATCTCCCATGAGCCTCTGCAGCCGGCAGCAGCCTGATGACGTCACCAAAGCGACGCCGAACCCCGGAACCTACATAGGTTTCGCCCGCTGGATAGCCGAGTCTATAAGATGAAGCGCAGAGCGGAAATCGCTCTCTTTTGTCCAGGTATTCATCTGGTGTGAAGAAGCTCGTTCTGCTACCGCTCCGGACGCGTGTGCGTGGAGTCGAGCAGCTGGAATCAACGGAGGACGCCATTTAATCCGTTGGAACATCTGAGGGACGCCTTGGTTGTTCAGACAAGATTTTCCCTTTTTTTCCCGCTCTTTCTTCCTCTCCAGTTTTCTCTTATAGCCAAAAGAAGCGGTCGACCGCGTGACTGCTTTAAAATAACAAATGTTTTTCTCTCCTTCGTAACAAAAACGCCATCGGACATCTCACAGTAAGATCCTGTTTTTTATTGTTAATATCTGAGTTTGTTCCCGCTGTGACCAGGCTGACAGACTGTTTTAGATATTCAATTTGCCTTTGATTGATCTGTTGTTTTGTTTCTTGATCTTTGTGAAGCGGTTTTGAAGTGTTTTTGATTGAGTTACTGTGAAAAATTACACACACCCACTTGTTTTCAGGGTTTAGAAAGACAAGCTGAATTCCACACACACACACCCACACACAAACACCCACACACAAACACCAAACACACCCAGGAGCCAGACAAAGGATCCGCCATTTTGTTTTTCCAAAACTCCCTCCATTTTGGTAACAACCTATCATTACTTGATTACGTCATTTCACCCACCTACCGGATCAGATTGTTATTTCACATTATCATTCCATTGTTTCATTACTTGTTATTCGTTTGATAAAATGAGTTGGTTGATATTGATTAGCTAATGCTTTAGTTGGAGCTGAAGTGGTCATATTAGTTAATAAATGTTATTGCCAATTAAGTTTTGTCTCAGGTGATTTGTTGTGTGGTATAAAATACAACTGCTGCTGTGAAAAGAATTTTACGAACTTTAGAGAGATTGATAGAGGTTTTGGATTCATTTTTCCCCGATAAGAGGGGTGGTGCCCCGGGGCGTATCCACGGATATCCTAATTACGTAATAAATCGGTAAATATTTCCATATTTACCAATTTATTGATGAATCCAAAAAGTAAGTAAGGCTTACAAATTATTTGTTGGCTAATAATCACAAGAGGGGCGCATCACCTTGTCCTCCGGTGACGCACCTCACCGGTGCGGCCTGCGAGCAGCGCACACTTCGCTGTTTGTGCGGTCGGTAGATCTTTTAGAACTGCAGTTCAAAGGTAACTCATAAGGTGAATATATATGAACCCAGGTAGCAGTTTTTCTTTAGGATTGAGAGGAGATGCAGGAAGATAATAAACAGGCAAGGCAGAAAAATAGTCAAATAAAAACAAGTTAGTTTTTGTACCTGGCGGTTGCAACAGACACCATTGAAGGTAATCAGAAGCGAGGAACAGAAAATGAAATAATTATTTTAATGTTTAGAGCAGCAGGAACTCTGAGAGGCTGCAGGCGCATCAGTGAGTTTGCTGCCGCTGCGCAGGGGGAGGGGGGAAAGGGCTGAAGCAGAAACTACCTTTGTTAAAAGAAATGTGTTTAACTTTGAAAATGTGGGCGCAATTTTAATTGTCAAAAACTCCAGCGAACAATTAGTTCATTTTGCTTAAATAGAAATTGAGGCCTGCCTCTAATTTTGGTCCTCCTTTCAATAAAGGCCTGGAGCTTGATGAGCTTGAGTAAAATACAGGCCCGGGCCTGTATTAGAGGATTTACGGTAATTTACAATCATTACAACTATGGCTGTGTCTCAATTCAGGGTCTGCATCCTTCGAAGGACGCAGCCCACCCGGCCGACGTGGGCTGCGTCCTCCGTCGGCCGGGTAGACCAGATGTTAACGGCTGTGAATTTGGACAGGCCTAGCCTTCATGAACTCCCTCGGCGAACGTACCGTCGCCTAGCAACCGTGGAACCGCTGGGCAGAAGGGAGAAGGAACTTTAAACGATGGAGCTTGACGTTTTATTTAGCTTTTTAACCCCCAGAAACCCAAATTTAGAAAACAACTGCAAAATCTTTTTTGACCTTTCACATGTTGTTCTAGGCCAGATAAACGGGCCTATTTACACATTTTAACAGCCAATAGTGTTGCAGAACTGAACAATAGGACCTATTAGCAATGTATATGTGGTTTTAAAAAGAAAAAAAAATGGGGAAGGTTTATTTTTGTAGACTTAAATCTGATGTTGTAATATTACAACCGTGGGTCTCTGGGGGTTAATCATTTCCTTGACTGTTGGTGAGCCAATTCAGAGAAAATACTTTCGACAAGCTGAGCCTGAGCAAAGATGTGATAATAGTTTTTAATACTTTCTAAGGGTCTTAATTTGACCAAAACCGATTTATCACCTTTTAAGACATTTCAAGACCCAGCGGATACCCTCTAGTAAACAATTCTCATTTGTAAACAAAAATAAAATCCAAGAGTTTAATGCAGAACTGATTTTATTTAAATATTTCTTTTATATGTACATGTTTAATCTTCCTTAACCATTTTTTTATAGCAAAGTAAAAAGCTGTCAAAGTTCTTCCTTCTCTACTGTGCCCTCTGCTGCGCTGCCTCCCTCTGCAGCCTCATGTCCTCCCTGATCAGATCCAGAAGCTGGTCATCGCTGGCACCTTCCCCTGGATGCCCATTTTCTCCAGAATAGTGTTAACAAACAAGTAAGAAAAAAAACAGATAGAGAAAAGAGGACAACGGGTTATTCCTTTCATGTTTTCGCAGAAAAAAATAAACTCAAACGAGTTTTTAAAATACGAGATGTTACTGTACCTCCATGCCACAGCCGCCGAATACTTTGCTCCGGTGATCATGTGGTCCATCTCCACCCTAAGCTTAATAAATTCCCTGGTTTTCTCTTTTGTTCCTAAAATACAAACTTCTATTAAAATCAGGGGGAAACGTAGCGGGAGAAGTACGACACCGAGCGCGGCCGAACATACGAGCCGAGACCGCAATACAAGCACTTTTACTGTAACATGTCTAACTAAAATAACGTTCGTGTATCACAAAAAGTCCTTAACCTAACAGTTTTCAAGTTTATACTTACATTTATAAGCGCAATCCTCTCCGACAGCTCCCGCTTCACTGTCCTCCATTGTTTTTAAGTTTTTCTGCCGGCCGGCCCGCAAGGCATCTTGGGAAATGCTACCTATTGAAGGATACACCCGACCCATCCTTCATTCAGGCGAAAAGAAGGCAGCATTCGTCGACCGCATTTGAAGGAGTCTTCGAATTGGGACAGGCCTAGTCGCGGCGCTGTGACGTAACCGGCCGACGAATCCGGCCGAGGTAGGATGCAGACCCTGAATTGAGACACAGCCTATGAGTGGGGGGAATTTTTTGTAACTATTCTGTTTAAGTCTAAATAAAGGCCTAAAATTCTGAATAATTAATGAGCATCAGTGCCCATCAGAGCCAGAGCTGGTGCTGGGAGCTAGCTCCAGGAAAAGGCCTCAGTCTGGGTCTCATGTTAATAGAAGTTTGGCTGTTTTGACTCTCTGAACTTTGGTGTTGTCTGTGTGTTCGTGTTTGGAAGTTATACTATATCTATCATCCACCTGGTCCAGTTCTCTCCTTCAGGAGTTTAGTGACTTTTTATCCTCCACTGTGAAGCTGGTGATTGTTGGTGATTTTAACATTCACATTGATGATGCCTCAGACCACTTTGCCATGAGCTTCTCCAGCCTCATGGATTCCTTCAACTTTACCCAGCATGTTTGTGGCCCCACACACCAGGGGACACACTCTGGACCTTGTTTTTACTCTGGGTCTAAATGCTGACAATGTTTGTCCTGAGGACGTTTATATTTCAGATCACCATTAATTTTCTTTAACTTGTCAGTTTCTGCATCCCCACCTCCTGCTCACCACCTGGTTAGTTCTCGTTTTCTTAATGAGAGCACAGCTAGCAAATTTTCTGCCGCTTTTAATCCACCCTGTTTTTCTGATAATGATCCAGATTCCTTAACTTCTCAGTTTAACGACCACTGCTTCTCCAATCTGGACAACATCTGTTCTGTCAAATTTTGTTCTGTACAGGCCAGAAGTGCCTTTACTGTGGAGTCCCTCTACCACATTTTTCTTACTAAAAATGCCCGGAAAAACTTCATTAGCTTCGGGTTAGCATGTAGCTAATGTTCGGCCAATCTCCGACCTTGTAGAGCCCAGCCACCCTGCAAAGAAAACTCATTTCGGCCGCTTGTATCCGTGATCTCGTTCTTTCGGTCACGACCCAAAGCTAGTGACCATAAGTGAGAGTAGAACCTTTCTAGATAGTTTCTGATTCATTAAGCGGAGATTGCTTGCAGCTGTGCGTACTCCAGGTTTGACGGATCACAAACCTACTTGGTGTAAGTACTTTTTTTTTTTTTGCTGAGTTTAAGTACGGTTTTAGTAAGGATTCTATGCAATGTTTGATAAATGAGACCCCAGCTCTCTTTTCACCACGACAGACTGGTACAACATCACTGCAGATGCAGCACCAATCCGCCTGTGGATCTCCAGCTTTCCCTCAATCGTGAACAAGACCACGAGATACTAAAAGTCCTCTACTTGGGACAGGCCCTTGTCCCTGACTCAGAGAAGGCATTCTACCCTTTTCCGACTCAAGAAAAAAAATTAGATGACCAATATTAAAATGTAATATTGGGAATTACCTGTATCTGTATAAATATCAGTTTCTACTCCTTAGTAACACAACTTTTACATACCATACACATATTGCCCATTTTGAGATATTTTAGTTTTATTTGGCACAATTTGCGAATAATTAGGAATTTGCCTCATAACCCTAACCCTTCTAACAGCACGTAGCTGAGCGTAACTTGCCAGCAAACAACCAACTAAAACAAACACAAGAATCTTCACCCAAGGTTTGCTTTTCTTAAATGAAGATCTTTATAAATGTTTCATCACTGCAGCTAGAATATACAGAAACGAAAGTACGTTACGGATGTTTACAGATGTCTCTGCAAAGCGCTTAGCAATTAGCCTAGCTTAGCATGTATATGCTCACACGGCTTACATTTTATCATCACACGCCCAAACATTCTCTAAACATGTCAAACCTTACAAAGACAAATGTTTTCCATGTCACGAACATATAAAGGAAAATCAGCGTGTTCATGATCCATTAACCCTCTTATTTTTGTCTAAATGTAAGATGTGAACAGTAAACGCCGGCAGCGGAGGGAAGAGAATAGATCTGAAACCGAGTCAAGAGCACTCCGTCGCGTTTCACACACAGTTTAACAAAGACTAGGAGCAATGTCTCACTCTGATCCGTTTTGAAAACCTAAAACGTTTTAACCTTTTGATCATTTATTCACTTTTACCATTTATTAATCAAACTTATTCTCATCATGAACTTAATTATCTGTGGCCTAAAGAAATCAAAGAGCTTTAGTCAGGATTATTTGTCGTTCAGCTGCTGTTGGGAGACAAATTAAAACATGACTTTTTTAACTAACTTAAATTGAATTGGTTTTAATTTTGCATTGATAAAGTTTAAAGCTTAGACATTCATGATAGGACACATGTAATGTTAGCAACTTAAAGGATTTATTAATTGGGTTGACCCTGCATATGTCATTATTATTATTTAAATAGATTTATTTATTTGTTTTTGTTTGTTTGTTTTGCCAGACTGGAATTCATGTGTTTGGGTAAAGTTTGTTTACATTTCTGAAAATCACAATAAAGATATGTTTTAAAAAAGATTCCACCTTATGTCACAGGAACTCATAATTTCACTGCAATGTCCATCTATCCAGCACCTGTGTCCATTCTGTCCACATTGTAGAGGTCTTTAAAAATAATCTAAAAACTCACCTTTTCATCCAGGCGTTCCCTCCCTAAATGTTTCAAAAAGATGGCTTTGTTCAGGTTCACACCTTCACTTTGTTTATACTCATGATTTTATTTTCTACTTTATCACTGCTATTGTTTTTCGGATGTTTTTATTGGTTAGAGGTATTTGCCCTGATCTTTATCATGTTGTACAGAGCTTTATGATTTATATCTGTGAAAGGCGCTATATAAATAAACTTTTACTTACTCACACACGCACGCACACACACGCACACACACACACACACACGCACACGCACACACACACACACACACACACACACCTGTATCCATGCTGTCCAGGTCCAGGTGGTGAAGAACACACGATGAATCAGTCCCAGCTGATGGATGATCCTGAAGTGGTAGCAGGTTTTCTTTAGCCGTGTTTAGCTAACAGCTGCAATAGAAACAAAGCAGGAGAGCTGATTAAGATGCTGCTTCAGAACAACGAAGGAGATTAAAGATCCAACGCTTTGGTTCTGGCCAAAGGAACAGCAGCAGATCCAGAGGGCGGGAAGTCTAGAGAAAAGCTTTTCTCACCCACAACCTGATTCTGGAGCTCCGATTGTCACGAAGACCGCAGAATATCTTCTCTGCTTCTGGAAAGAACTCCACCAAGTTGTTGAGGAGGAGAAGAAAGTTTCCACAGCCTGGTGAGAAGATTTCTGCAGCAGCAGCAGTTAGTCGCTTTAGCTGATCAACTCTCCCAGAGACTGAAGTGAAGACGTTTTTACTGCAGAGCCTCAAATGTTCTCCTCACACACCACAACAAGAAGCTAGCTCTGCTAGCAGCTTCCGGTTTCTGCTTCTTCTGGTGGTTTGTGACCAGCGTAAAGGTGCACTCGCGCCACCTGCTGGACTGGAGGCTCACTGAGCCCTGACATGCAGAAGACATATGAGGCTGTGTCCGAATCCAGAGGTAGGATGCTTGTGAGTACGGGTCCTCGCCGGTCGTTGCTTCCTTTTGTGCTAGACCGCTAAAACCGGAAGTCAGCGGCTCTGAATTCGGACGGTACTAGCCTCGTTTTTATTCCCGCCCCCAGGTCCAGTTGCTTAGCTACCGTGACGGCGTCAAACAGGCTAACAAGCTAACAAGCTAGTCAGAGGTGAAAATGGATCCACAGCAGTATTCCCTTTTATTTTTGGTTTTTGAGGAGCTGCGACTGCTTAGTAAACGTCACCGGCCTTTGTATTTAAGGCTGAGAAGCAGCCATATCCAGGTAAAATTATTTTTTGTTTAGTGAACCAGCTTTCAGGCATTACATGTTAACTTTAGTGCTAGTTTCATGTATATTTTAAGCAACAGAAAGACATGTGGCTGAATATACACATTAGTATAGAGTAGACTAACATGCATATAGTTAATTTAACCTATATTCATCTAAAATAATTAATGCAATGACATTTTAGAAGTTTGTATTTGATCATAATGCTTGGTTCTGTGCATAAATTTCATAGTAAAAGTAGCATTACAATGTGTTTAATGTGTATTGTCCTTTTCAACTTATGCCTAATAATGCCTAGCTCACTTCTAAAAATCTCAAGCATTTATACAGTTTTTTTAAATTGTTTTATTGTTCTCTACTTTTCTTTTAACAGAACAGACCCCTGTACTGTAGGATAAACATGAGTGTGCCAGTCCTGGACCGTTTTTTTAACCAGGAAGATCCCAGGCCAGATTTTCGTCTGAGCAGGGAGTCTTTTGTGGTGTTGCTAAATCTCCTGAACCAAGATCGGCGACATGGTTGGGGTGCCACAATCGAGACCCTGGTGTTTCTGTTCTGGTTGGCAAGTGGAACATCCTACAGGGTGGTCTCAGGAGTATTTGGGATGCCTCGCTCAACTGTCCACGACATCGTCCATCGAGTCACGGAGGATGTGGTCGCAATCCTCCACCAGGTCATTCACCTCCCCAAAACCCCAGAGGAGATGGAGGTTGTGTCTCGTGGGTTTGCTGGGCTGGCTCGACACAGAGCTTTCATGAAAGCAGCAGGTGCGATCGACGGCTGTCACATTCGGATCAAGGCTCCGAGCGGTCCTGATGGTCAGTGCTACAGAAACAGGAAACTGTTCCCATCTATCATCCTGCAGGCAGTTTGTGACCATCAGGGCCGCTTTATCGACACCTATGTGGGCTGGCCTGGGTCGGTCCACGACTCCAGGGTCCTCCGGCACAGCCCACTGTACAGGCAGTCAGCCTTTCCTCCTCCAGGGCACTTCATCCTCGCGGATGGAGGGTACCCATGCCTCCAACATCCACTCCCCCTCATCACCCCCTACAAACGGGTGGTTCAAGGTGTGGGAGCCCAGCGAACAGCCATCATTCCAGGGCACGCTGCATCATCGAGCGTGCTTTTGGAATGATGAAGACCAGGTTCAGGACCATCTTCCTGAAAGCGCTGGAGGTCCACCACACCTTTGTACCTCATGTAAGTTAACACAAAGTGGAAATAAACTTTGGGTGTAATCTTTGTTTGGGAATGAAATATAAATTAAATTTTCATCTCTATTACAGGTCATGACAGCATGCACCATCCTGCACAACATCTGCCTCAGTGCTGGTGACATTGTGGTGCAGGACGATGAACTGGAGGATGATGCTCCAGAAGATGAGGGGGAGGCTGGTTTGGAGGCAGTCAGTGGTGCCCTCTGGCGGGACCAACTTTCTGCTGAGGTGTCTGCTCTGGAGGAAGTACCACCAGATCACAATTACTGTTAACAGGCAAGTAATTTACGTAGGAATCTCTAGTTTAAAAATCATTTAGTCCTGTTATCTGCTAGAGTTACAAGTATTATACTCATGATCTCCTTTTTTGCATATATCTGAATGTTAGTGATGTGACAGCCGTCGATTGAGCCAGCCCAGCAAACCCTTTTGATGGACGATGCAGTGGTCAGTGAGATGAGGCATCCAGAAGCACCCTCTGCAGACCACTCTGTCTGATGTTCCACTTGCCAACCAGAAACGTTCAGCCACGGATCTCGGTTCCTGCACTCCATCCACCTCGATGATCCATGTTTAGTAGATTTAGCAACACCACCAAAGACTCCCTGCTTTCCACGTTTACTGTATATATTTTACTTTTATCTTTACTTTTATTCCTTACAGTGTTCCCTTACCATTTATTTACTATGTTGTTACTTGTTAAAAACTGAATAATAAAACTGTTAATGATCAAAAAAGAGTTATCAATTAATAGAAATTTTATTACATTTAAACAAATAACAAAAACATTCAAACACAGTCTAATGTTTATTAGTACATTACAGACAATAATGAACTTAATCACATTATGCAAATTTTTTGAGAAGGACCTGTATGTGGGTAGGAGGTGGAGTTGGGAGTCCCGGCTTGTCCAGGAAGAAGCTGGGACCAGATACAGATACATTGATAGCATAATCTATTAAACACAGTTTGTGACTTGTTAAATCTTTATTTTATTTGTGGATAAAGAAATTGTCTTTCCTTTCACAAAAATGGAAATGAAATTAAAATGTACTGAACTGTGACATTTATGCTGGCTAAGTAGCTTTCTGAGTGCTCAGCTCCCCTAAACCTCTAAACTTACACTCACCTAAAGGATTATTAGGAACACCTGTTCAACTTCTCCTTAATGCAATTATCTAATCAACCAATCACATGGCAGCTGCATCAATGCATTTAGGGGCGTGGTCCTGGTCAAGACCATCTCCTGAACTCCAAACTGAAGGTCAGAATGGGAAAGAAAGGTGATTTAAGCTATTTTGAGCGTGGCATGGTTGTTGGTGCCAGACGGGCCGGTCTGAGTTTTACACAATCTGCTCAGTTACTGGGATTTTCACCCACAACCATTTCTAGGGTTTACAAAGATTGGTGTGAAAAGGGAAAAACATCCAGTATGCGGCAGTCCTGTGGGCCAAATGTCTTGTTGATGCTAGAGGTTAGAGGAGAATGGGCCGACTGATTCAAGCTGATAGAAGAGCAACTTTGACTGAAATAACCACTCGTTACAACCGAGGAACGCAGCAAAGCATTTGTGAAGCCACAACACGCACAACCTTGAGGCAGACGGGCTACAACAGCTGAAGACCCCACCAGGTACCACTCGTCTCCACTACAAACAGGAAAAAGAGGCTACAATTAGCACCAGCTCACCAAAACTGGACAGTTGAAGACTGGAAAAATGTTGCCTGGTCTGATGAGTCTCCATTTTTGTTGAGACATTCAAATGGTAAAGTCAGAATTTGGCATAAAAAGAATGAGAACATTGATCCATCATGCCTTGTTACCACTGTGCAGGCTGGTGGTGGTGGAGGTGTAATGGTGTGGGGAATGTTTTCTTTGCACACTTTAGGCCCCTTAGTGCCAATTGGGCATGGTTTAAATGCCACGGGCTTGTTTCTGACCATGTCCATCCCTTCATGACCACCATGTTCCCAACAAGTAGCCATCAGATGGCTGCTTCCAGCAGGATAATGCACCATGTCATAAAGCTCCAATCATTTCAAACTGGTTTCTTGAACATGACGATGAGTTCACTGTACTACAACGGCCCCCACAGTCACCAGATCTCAACCCGATAGAGCATCTTTGGGATGTGGTGGAACGGGAGCTTCGTGCCCTGGATGTGCATCCCACACATCTCCATCAACTGCAAGATGCTATCCTAGCAATATGGGCCAACATTTCTAAAGAATGCTTTCAGCACCTTGTTGAATCAATGCCACGTACAATTAAGGCAGTTCTGAAGGAGAATGGGGGTCAAACACCGTATTAGTGTGGTGTTCCTGATAATTCTTTGGGTGAGTGTATATAATTATGAAAGGTCAAGGTCAATTTTATTTATAGAGCGCATTTACAGCAGCAAAGCTACACCCAAAGCGCTGTACAAGGTACAACAAACCAAGAGATTAAAAAAATTATAAAACACTTAAGCAATTAGGCAAACAACAGGTATTAAAGGCATAAAGTGTAAGAAGATAAAACAAAAGATCAGTCTTTATGGAGATGATGTTTTACTCTTTCTCCAGAATTTTCAATCCTCTCTCCCCCAGCTGGCGTAGGCCAGATGATGCCTGCACTGCCCGCTCACCACAGCCACGAATACACCTCATCAACACACACTAACACTATATTGGAGCAGGCGGAGGGAGACTAGGGGTCTTAGCACACTTCTGTTGTTGCTTGGTTTCCCGGGAATGGAGGCTAGGAGGGGGATCTGGCCGTCTGGCTGGGGTGGTGGGTCGCTTTGTTCGGCGTTGGGTGGAGGAGCCTGCTCATCAGCACCCCAGCAGGAAGGGTCGAACTCTGAGAACCGATGATGGTTGTACCTTTGTGCAGCATGTCTTAGGTTGTACGTGTATATGACAGCATGAGGGAGGGAGTGTGTGACTATGTTTGAGTACGACTGTTTATGTCAGGTGGGGCATTTGACTCCTCCCCTCTCCTGGAACAACTTTTGCTGCTACACATCTTCGCCTCCTCTCCCCTGCCACACTTGGTGTGGAGTGTTGTGCCTTGGTCTGCCTGAGTGTTCGCGGCTCCCGGGTCAGGGGGTTTAAAAATTTTGACATCTGCCTGATTAATCTCGATGGCTACCTGGTGGGATCTGAGTCCCTGGGCTCTGTTGGGTATCCGGCGGGGCTGGTTGCCTCTGGGTCCCCGAGTTGCTGGGTTCCGGGCTCGACCGACTTAGGGATGGGAGGCTGCGGGCGGGCCTGTAGGCTTGCCGCTGATATCCCCTGGGACTCCGCCGGCTGCTGGTTGTGGCCTCCCGGGGCGATTCTCTGCGCCTCTTGAGGGGGGCAGGGGCTTTTCTGGTTGCAGTCTCCCTGGGGTCTCTGGGCTTTGGGGCAGCTCCTGGATCTCTGAGACTTGGAGCTCCTTCCATCTCCTACACATCTTTGGAGGGCAGATCTGTGGCCCCTCACACTCTCTATTGGACGTTCCTATAGAGAAACCTTATATATACAAGCGCAGGTACGCACACAGGTGCTCACATGGTGCTCTCAAAAGTATGGACTTGGGCACGTTCAACACATTTCTTGAGGCTGTGGTTGGCACTTAATGCACTGTGATTTATTATTGTTTGATTGTTCTGTAAAACAATGTTGATTTAATATTTCCTCATCAGGTTGACACAGTGATTATTTGCTCCTGTTCTATTCTTGTGTGTCGTTTTTCTTTTTTTCTCCTGCAGGTCTAGAAGCAGACTCTTGTTCATCATTGATTGTTTATTTTTGTGGAGCCCTGTGAGAGGAAGTTTTACTTTGGCCCCCAAAATGCCTTTATACGGCACTGGGTATGGGACTGAGTTTTGAAGGTGATCTGAACTGCAGCAGAGCACGTCAGGCACAAATAAAAGACAAAGTACCACAGAAAATATGAGCGGACATAAACAATTATATCCTTTGATGGCGCCACTTTGAGAATGTTACTGTGGCCGTGCACAGGACGCAGCTGCCTGCGGAGTGCATCAATGATCAGCACTCTGCTATAATGATCATTTCTAGAACTTGTATAGTGAGTTTCTTCAGTCCCGTGTAGGCACTCATGTGATCGTCAAAAATTGTCTTACGGCTAAATCCTTGGCCACAAATCTCACAGGAAAAAGGCTTCCGTCCCGTGTGGACTGTCATGTGACGGTTTAAAGTAACCTTTTGGTGAAATCTTTCATCACAGAGTTCACAGGCAAAAGGCTTCTGTCCTGTGTGGACTCTCGTGATTGTTTTAAGTTGTCTTACGGGTAAATCTTTTTCCACAGGGCTCACAGGCAAAAGGCGTTTATCTTGTGTGGACAAGCATGTGACTGTTTAAAGCTCCCTTAAGTCGAAAATTTCGACCACAGATTTCACAGGCAAAAGGCTTCTGTCCTGTATGGACTCTCATGTGACTTTTTAAAGTTTCCATATGTCGGTAATTTCGACCACAGATTTCACAAGCAAAAGGCTTCTGTCCTGTGTGGATTCTCATGTGAACTTTTAAAGTTCCCATCTGTCGATAATTTCGACCACAGATTTCACAGGCAAAGGGCTTCTGTCCTGTGTGGACTCTCATGTGACTGTTTAAATTTGACTTTTTGGTCAAATTTTTTCCACAGATCTCACAGGCAAAAGGTTTTGGTCCTGTGTGGATTCTCATGTGTCTGTTTAAATATGTCTTACTGCTAAATCTTTTTTCACAGAGCTCACAGGTAAAAGGCTTTAGTCCTGTGTGGACTTTCATGTGATTGTTTAAAGTTGTCTTACGGGTAAATCTTAAACCACAGAGCTCACAGGTAAAAGGCTTTAGTCCTGTGTGGACTGTCATGTGACTGTTTAAATTTGCCTTATGGGTAAATTTTTTACCACAGAACTCACAGGCATAAGGCTTCTGTCCTGTGTGGATTCTCATGTGACTGTTTAAAGTTGTCTTACGGGTAAATTTTAAACCACAGAGCTCACAAGTAAAAGGCTTCTGTCCTGTGTGGACTCTTACGTGATTGTTTAAAGTTGACTTATGGGTAAATTTCTGACCACAAATCTCACAAGCAAAAGGCTTCTGTCCTGTATGTACTCTTATGTGACGGCTTAAAGTTACATTGTGGGCAAATTTTTGACCACAGAGCTCACAAGCAAACGGCTTTTGTCCTGTGTGGACTCTCATGTGAACATTTAAATGTGTCTTACTGCCAAATCTTTTTTCACAGAGCTCACAGGAAAAAGGCTTCTGCCCTGTGTGTACTCTTATGTGATTGTTTAAAGTTGTCTTATGTGCAAATTTTTTACCACAGAGCTCACAGGTAAAAGGCTTTAGTCCTGTGTGGACTGTTAAGTGACTTTTTAAATGTGTCTTACGGGTAAATCTTAAACCACAGAGCTCACAGGTAAAAGGCTTTTGCCCTGTGTGGACTCTCATGTGACTGTTTAAATGTGTCTTACTGCTAAATCTTTTTTCACAGAGCTCACAGGCAAACAGCTTTTGTCCTGTGTGGACTCTCATGTGACTGTTTAAACGTGTTTTACTGCTAAATTTTTTACCACAGCCCTCACAGGCAAAAGGCTTCTGTCCTGTGTGGACTCTCATTATTTCTTTCTGGACTTTCCTGCATGAGTCTACATGTTGCTTCACTGTGACACACTTTTTCTTAACCAAACATCCTAAAGACCTTCTTGTTGAATGACTTGTCAGTCTCACGTGTTTCTGGAGAGACCACTTGTGAAGAAATAGTTTACCACATTCAGGGCAGCTAAAGGGCCTGTTGACAGCCTTAACATCTGGCCCAGAAGACCTGCTCTTATTGCAGCCAATATCTTCGTCTCCAGTTTCAGGCCTAAAGTCTAACAGGAAAGAGTCTAGGTTCACATCATCATCCTCTTCATCATCTCCACTGACTTCAGTCTCTGATGAATCGGATATCTGTTCATGAAGGTTCAGATATGGGTTCATGCCAGTTTCTGCTCCTCCATCGGTTTCTGCCACCTTCTGCTCAGTCGAGCTGCTAGTTGGAACATCTCTGTCTTCTAATTTCTGCTGATGAAGTTGTGAGAACAGTGGTTTCTCTTCATCTTCCTCACTCTTTATAGAAACTGTAATGAAAAAAGTTGAAGTCTATAAAATAAAAACAAGCCGTAAAATCAGGACAAAATACCTAGTGGTGTTTGTGCAATCAGCAATATACATAACCAGTTGTGGCAAGGTGGAGGAACGAGGGCCCGGGTGGGATACAATCCCCAGAATCCCGGGTGAGAGTCACGCGCTAACCAATCAGCCAAAGGGACATCCCCTTGGCCAAGTATCCAGGGCACATGATCAATCGGGAGACTGTGACACTCACCCTGTCACACAACATATTGCTCGCTTTGGTAACACATTATTTTTTTACCAGTGACTAATAATCTAATGAGTTACTTTTTAAGGTAACTCTGTTATACTTATCCTTGTGGGGGTGCCTCACGGCTCAGTCTTGGGCCCCCTCCTGTTTTCCATTCATCTGCATCCCTTGGGGCAGATTTTTCCACTTCACACCATCAGCTATCACATCTTTGTTGATTATTGTCAGATTTAATTGGCAATAAAAGAACCAGACGCAGACATTCAAGTGTTAAATTGGCTTTCTGACGTGACGGAATGGTTAGCTGCAGACTTCTTGAGTTTAAATGAGGCACAGATAGAGTCAATTGTTTTCAAGCCTAGAAACCTTTCATGTGTCACCAAAATTGGCCGGTATTCATGGTTTTTACTTTTCCTGGTGTTTATATTTTTACATTTGAATTGTAATGTTTTTCTGGTATGTGGCAACTGTCGAAGGGCGTGTGTGTCACTATTATTTAGATGTTTGTTTACCGTAAATCCTCTAATACTGGCCCAGGTCTGTATTTGACTCAAGCTCATCAAGCTCCAGGCCTTTATTGGAGGGAGGACCAGAATTAGAGGCAGGCCTCAATTTCTATTTGAGCAAAATGAACTAGTGGTTCGCTGGAGTTTTTGACAATTAAAATTGCGCCCACATTTTCAAAGTTAAACACATTTCTTTTAACAACAGTAGTTTCTGCTTCAGTCCCCTCCCCCCTCCCCCTGCGCAGCGGCCGCAAACTCACTGTTACGCCTGCAGCCTCTCGGAGTTCCTGCTGCTCTAAACATTAAAATAATTATTTCATTTTCTGTTTCTCACTTCTGATTACCTTCAATGGTGTCTGTTTGTTGCAACCACCAGGTACAAAAACTAACTTGTTTTTATTTGACTATTTTTCTGTCCTGTCTGTTTATTATTTTCCTGCATCTCCTCTCAGTCCTAAAGAAAAATTGCTACCTGGGTTCATATATATTCACCTCATGAGTTACCTTTGAACTGCACTTCTAAAAGATCTACCGACCGCAAAAACAGCGGAGCGCTTGCTGCTTGCCGGCCGCATAAGTGAGATGCGTCACCGAGGACAAAACAGGTGATGTGCCCCGATCCACAGCAGCGAAACGCATCAGGCACAAATAAAAGAATAAAAGACAGAAAACATAAAAGAAAATGAGCCGACATAAACGATCGCGTGTTAAATTAGTTTTTGAGGTGGCGACACCTGATTTGATAATGTTACTGTGGTCGTGCTCAGGACGCAGATGTCTGGAGCGCGTCAACAATTAGAGCTTTGCATGCGCAAGCTGGTTAAGGTTAGGATGGGGGTGAGGGGAAGGTTAAATTGCAAGAGGGTTAACGTCACAATTTGGTTAAATGTCCGTTTTACGGCGGGTGTCAGTACCGACGCTCTGGCACAGCGCGTTGCCTCCCGACGCGCAGGAGCTTGTCACCTGCTGACAGCAGGCTGCTGTCTTTTCCGAGGACTGCATCTTGCCGGTCATAATCACGTGACAGCGACTAGTCGATGACAGGCATAAAAAGTCACTATAGAGCGGTGAAGTCGACTAGTGACTAGTTCATACAACCCCTACTGCTCCCCAGAGTGTTCTGCAGCATAATCAGCACGTTCTCTTTCAACTTGATATCAAATTTTCGCCTCCTCTTCGTCTCCGCACGGTTGAAGTTACCCTCGCGGTCTATCACTGGCAAATCAAAAGTGATACTTGCTTGTTACCACATTCCACCCGGCCACAATAAAAAACCGGCCATTATTTACCTCCGCCGACTCCGACACCGGCCAAAATATGATACCCGGCCGTTAATTGAATACAGGCTAATATTAGAGGATTTACGGTATATAATTCTTTTGGCTTGATACTCAACAACACTGTTGGCATCCATTTTTTTCCGCCTAGTTGGAAGCTGGAACGCAAAACGAGCCCATTATGTCATTTCCTGCTTGGGAATTCCGAGTTCCGAGGACAACTAGAACGCACAATAAAACTACTAAATGACCCCCGTTCACTGATTATTCTAATATTACTGTTGAATCACTTCAGTCACTAATGCAGCGGTACTCAGTAGGCGTTGTGTCTTGAACCGCCACGCCAGCACCACCCCGGCCCAACAATCCAGCTACAACCCCCCACCCCCAGACCTCGTGCTTCCAGGGCGTTTTGTTGAGTAGCCCTCAGACCATTACATTTGAGTAATCCTGCACTAATGTAATCTGACTCAGAACTTATTTGTCTGCGTGATATCAGAGATGATAACAAGATGGGGGTGTCGCAGTCGCAACTATTTTTCAGTCTGTGTTTCAACTATCCATGGTACTTTTGATATGTGCTACTTAGGGAAATGCACTTGCCCAGACCGATTACTAGGCTGTTTACCTGAAGCGACGCTCTACCTTTGGAAGTTGTTGTATTACTGCTTGTTGTATGTTTACCTGACAGTTAGCTTGTACACGGATTGTAAATTTACGTTATTATACTGTAAACAGGAAATGTCTCCCATTGTTTAACGTCATTCACGGAATTATGGCAAAGACAGTCTTTATTATAAATAAATCACGACAAACACTGTATATTCTTGCTAATAATTATACTGCAGTTCTTTATTTTTGAGTAGTATCACTAATTTACAATAAACCGTGCTTAATAAGCCTGTTACTATACTGAAAACAAGAGCAAAACTCTCGTAACACGCTGTGGTAGGAATTTTTAATGGGGAAGCACGGATAGTCAGAACACCGGCTCTGCTGATGGACTAGCAATCATCCTGAATTTGTCCTTTAGCAGCTTTAGGAATCTAAAGCATTCCCTCAGAGGAGACTTCAAGCACTTGCTAGGAGGAAACGGAGCGGCCCCGGTGCTTGTTGTTGCTGGTTTTGCTGCACAAGTCCGTTTAGTTTGGCTTTAGTTTTGGTCCGCTAATTACTTAGTTTTTAATTTGCTGTGATGGAGACATCTTTAGGGTGGGTTAACCGCAGCGTTCACACCGTGGTTAATACTCAAATCAGGTAATCCTTGCAACCCTACCTGCAGTCTCAGATGAACCAGATGGCTGTTCATGATGGTTCAGATCTGGGTTCCTGCTACTTCCTGCTGTCATCTGGTCAGCTGAGCTGCTGGTTGGAACACCTCTGTTGTCTAGTTGCAGCTGATGAAGGTGTGACGTCAGAGGTTTCTCTTCATCCTCACTCTTTATAGAAACTGCAGTGAAAAAAGTAGAAGTACATAAAGCTAAAACAGGCGGTTTTGTTCATGTTTTCTTTCTGGTGAGCCCTGAGTTGCCTCATGCCTCAAGAGGAGGGGAGGCTGATGTAATACATTTAAGTAGAGGGTCATTTGGGTTAAATAACTTGCTTCAGAAGCGATTAATCTCTACTATCATTACTGGTGACCAGTAGCTGTGTCAGTCTACATAAATAGAGATTACCACCTTGCTCGGTCTTTAAGATGATTCAGCAGAAGACTCTAGGATTCTTTGTTTAATTCGGGGACTGTAAACTCTTCGTTTATGATTCAAGAGCCAGTCAGTGTTTGCAACAAATAAGAATTTAGTTTACAAACATTTAAGACCTGACAGATTGCTTAACTATTATACGGTGAATGGATGGAACTAAAAGATGGGTGTCTGGAAACGGTGTGAATATGAGATGATAATCAGAATCTTCGTATCCTCAGAGAGGTGCCTTTCTGGGTAGAAAAGAATTTGGTTTGCATATAAGCTATAAGCTGTTATTTACCAAACTGCATACAGACGTTATCTGCATGTCTACATTACTGTAGAGGCACCCTCTTGATGGATCCGAAAGTCAGAGGGGGTCGGATGACCGCTGGCACCGGAGGGCTGTAGAGCACCGAGGTGCCAACCTTTCAGTCCAGAGATGCGACTCAGGTCACGACAGATGGACGTAGCCCACGCGTCTTAAAATAACTCTGAAGGAGTTTTGCGAAATCAGCTTTGTTCTGCAGGAAAAACATCTTGTTGTTCTTCAGTTTCGCTGGTCGCACTCATGGCCCTGCACTTGGGCCGCCTCTCAGCACCTGATGGAACAACTGAGACGGCAGCATTTGAGGGGGTACTAGAACTGGAACTGAGATGATGGATTGGGGCTCCTCGCTGACCGCGCACCTACAGGACAACGTAACCTGCATCCACCTCGGCTGAAGACCCCCTGGATGCAACTACAACAGGACACAGCGAGGAAGAGACGCTGGGAAAGGATAATCACTTCAAGCACCTGCACCCAAATCTCCAGACTGGTTTCACGGTCAAGGACCTGTAGGACTTTTCGGGGAGAAGATCAGCTCCCTGACAATTGGACAACGGCCTCGACACGCCACGGAAGGACCCTGAAGTCTTCCTAATGTGAAGTTGAACTTTGCGCTTCATGTCCGAACTACGTTATTACGCTCCGGACCTGGACTTCAAGGTACCCATCAACGTAAGACTGAAACCATCCTGATTAAGGGAAGAGGACTCTGACTTTCAAGCCTATTCTCCAACCGGGACTCCCAGTCCACAGAGAAGCCCTTTGATGAAGAACGGCTGGTTTGCCTCAGCTCAGCCGTAGTTAGAGCTGCGTAAATTAATATTACAACGTTCATTTTTCCTCCTTCACTGAAAGATTCGTCAGCACCTTGGAGCTTCAAACTAAATTCACCTGATGTTTCAATACACCGAACTAATGTTTTGTGTGTCTTGTATGGTTCTGCTAGCCCTTCCCAATCTCCTTACAGGAACTGCCATAGAGTTGTAGAATTGTGCGTCACAGTAAATTCATTTCAATAGGTATGAAATAGCTTTTTTAAAGTTTATAACTGTGCTGATTTAGCTGGTTCTATACTCTATCTCTGTGAACTGCTGTAAGATATTATTGTCAGTTGTGTTTGACTTATTGTGTCTATTGCTAGGGCTGTCGCGGTTGAGGAATTCCTCCTGCGGTGATTCAGGGTGGCTTAATATTGCGGTGTGCGACATTATTGCAGCACTTTTTTTTATTGCAGTACTATCTAAACATCATGTTTACACATTTAAAAAAGGTTAAAAATTGCTGTGCTTTCTTTTATAACACTTTACTGAATGCAGATCAAAGGGCAGTAACAACACAGATCGCAGTAACGTTTGTTTCTCCGACAGTCGGAGTCCGACTGAACTTAAAAACAACAAAATTCAGGAGGTTAAACTTTTAAATGCAAATTTGGCTGCAGCATCTAACAAATAAGAAACAAGTCCCCATTTTGTTTAGTTGTTTAAAATCAAGCATAAAAAATTACATGTACCGGGCGCGGGTGCACTATCATTTCACTTTCACACACACGAATGACGGTGATTTATAGCTCGGTCACATCCTTGTTACCCACAAGGAAAACCAGCATGTTAACCATATACGGTTTGAGAGAGGATCTGAGAGGGGTGGCAACATTTCCAGCAACACTGAAAAGCCTCTCGGATGGTGCGCTCGTTGCACTAACGCACACGTACTTGCGTGCGACTCTGGCGAGCAAAGGGAATCTCCCGGTTGTTGCTCCACCATGTCCGGGGGTTTCTTTAGGGTGGATGCATTCCTCCTGCAGGTAGCGAGTGAGCTCCAGCTCGGCTCAAACTCTCTTCGGGACGGTTGCAGAAGCAGTGCTTGTCCGGGACTTCAACAGGTCTCTGAGCGTTTATTATTATTTTATTTTATTTATTTGCCGCTGGTGGCAGCTCTGTCTCGGCCAAGGACTCTGGCTGCGCAGCAGCTGACGTACTGAAAACCAAAGTGCTCCCAAAGGAGCGAAGTGACGTTTGGTTTTGATACCAGTGCAGCCATCCTTCTCAACACGCATCATTGAGTTGAACCAAGTTCAGTAATCGCGGTGGCCCATGATGCAGCGCGGTGGGCTTCTTCATATTGCGATATTTCATTTTTGCGGTTACCGTGACAGCCCTATCTATTACCTTTTTTATGTTCTTATTATTTTGCTGATTTTTGTATTACAACTTGTATGGAACGATTCTTTGGACGAGTTAACAGGATCGAGATTACGATACACAATAGACAAATGATCGCAGCACCTCATGCTCTGTTCCCACTTCATCATGTTAATTCTGAGCCTTTCATATCTGATCGTAGTGTTTATTACTGTTAGCAGAGTTTTATTTACCCAGCGGTTGGACCAAGACTCCCAAACGAATCTCCAGGATTAAAAGGAGGAAATAAATCCATAAACAGAGCGTCTGTTACAACGGGCCTTCACTGGTGGTAGCACACACTGACTGCACCTACAAAACACCAATGCTCCACTTTTATTAGTCATTCCACAGGGTCAAAGTATAACTTCCTCTACACTTGCTTCTCAAAATAAAAGCATAAACATATACACATTCTTATTTACATATGTACATAGATGCAATATATAACAGAGCATATTATTCTGATGCTTAACAATTACTTTACTTATTATTTTTCTTGTTCTGATGCTTATCATTTTTGTTTTGAGTCACTTGATTTGCACCCTATCGGACCACTTTTCTATTCCTTGATTCGTGATTGATGTAGCTTTCACAGTTAATGGTGACATGTTGTGGAAGTGGATAATATTTCTTATTGTTTTACTTATTTTTATTTTCCTCCCTTGGTTTTGTTTTGTTGCTTCCTTTTGTTTGGAATGTTATGGAAGATTTATGTTTATTAATTCTTGATCATGGACTCAATCAACTGAATGTAAATGTATTGCTCTATGCCTCTTTGATCATGCTCACTCATTCAGACACACACACACACACACACACACACACACACACACACACACACACACACACACACACACACACACACACACACACACACACACACACACACACACACACACACACACACACACACCAGTACCTGTGTCCATGCTGATGGATGATCCTGAAGTGGTAGCAGGTTTTCTTTAGCCGTGTTTAGCTAACAGCTGCAATAGAAACAAAGCAGGAGAGCTGATTAAGATGCTGCTTCAGAACAACGCAGGAGATTAAAGATCCAACGCTTTGGTTCTGATCAGCTGAGGACAGATCCAGGGCGTTTATACGGTAGTTTACGGTAACACCCGTCCCGCTGCTGGAGAGGTGCTGAGATGAGCGACAGAATGGGCTGACATCAGGATGACACAGAGCTGCTAAATGTGCCTTTTTGATAAAGGATAGAATTGTGTTTTTAAAAAAGGACATTAGGCTAGTAAAAGTAGTTCTTACTTTAGTACCAGGTGGTACTAGAGGTACTTAATATGCATGCATATGTGGCCTAGTGTCCTTTTTCCCAAATTCCATTATATCCTGTCTCAAACACGGCATGTTTAGCTTTTTGTACGTATTTTGAAGTACAATTACTGAAAAAGTACACAGTAAAAGTAGTTCATACATTGGTACCAGGTAGTACTTGAGGTACTTAGTATGCATGTACATGTGGCCTAGTGTCCTTTTTCCCAAATCTCATTTTATCCTCTCTCAAATACGGCACGTTAGCATTTTGGACGATTTGAAAGACAATTACTGAAAAAAGTACACAGTAAAAGTAGTTCATACTTTGGTACCAGGTAGTACTCGAGGTACTTAGTATGTATGTATAGGTGGCCTAGTGTCCTTTTCCCCAAATCTCATTTTATCCCATCTCAAACACGGCTTGTTAGCTTTTTGTACATAATTTGAAATACAATTACTTAAAAAGTACACACTAAAAGTAGTTCATATTTTGGTAACAGGTAGTACTCGAGGTACTTAGTATGTGTGTATAGGTGGCCTAGTATCCTTTTCCCCAAATACCATTTTATCCCATCTCAAACACAGCACTTTTGTTTTTTGGATATACTTTGAAGGACAATTACTGAAAAAGTACACAGTAAAAGTAGTTCAAACTTTGGTACCAGGAAGTACTCGAGGTACTTAGTATGTGTGTATCAAAAAGGCACATTTAGCAGTTCGGTCATCCTGATTTCAGCCCATTCTGTCGCTCATCTCAGCTCTTCTGCAGCGGCGAGACGGTGTTACCGTAACGTACCATGTAAATGCGCACTTCAATTGTAGCTGCGGCTCACTGGACCACAATAACCTCTTCAATCTGATGAAAGCAGCAAAACGAGCGCGTTTCTCAGAGAGGCCAAAGGAACAGCAGCAGATCTAGAGGGCAGGAAGTCTAGAGAAAAGCTTTTCTGACCCATCACCTGCTTTTGGAGCTCCAATTGTCACGAAGACCGCAGAATCTTCTCTGCTTCTGGAAAGAACTCCACCAAGTTGTTGAGGAGAAGAACGTTTCCACCGCCTGGTGAGAAGATTTCTGCAGCAGCAGCAGCAGCAGCAGCAGTTAGTCGCTTTAGCTGATCAACTCTCCCAAAGACTGAGGTGAAGACATTTTTTTACTACAGAGCCTCAAACGTTCTCCTCACGCACCAGAACAACAAGCTAGCTCTGCTAGCAGCTTCCGGTTTCTGCTTTTTTCGGTGGTTGACCAGCGAAAAGGTGCACTAGCGCCCCTGCTGTGCTGGAAGCTCACTGAGCCCCGATAGGCAGTGCTAATCATATATATGTATATAAATATACACTCACTTAAAGAATAGTTAGGAACACCATACTAATACGGTGTTTGACCCCCTTTCACCTTCAGAACTGCCTTAATTCTACATGGCATTGATTCAACAAGGTGCTGAAAGCATTCTTTAGAAATGTTGGCCCATATTGATAGGATAGCATCTTGCAGTTGATGGAGATGTGTGGGATGCACATCCAGGGCACAAAGCTCCCGTTCCACCACATCCCAAAGATGCTCTATCGGGTTGAGATCTGGTGACTGTGGGGGCCGTTGTAGTACAGTGAACTCATTGTCATGTTCAAGAAACCAATTTGAAATGATTGGAGCTTTATGACATGGTGCATTATCCTGCTGGAAGCAGCCATCAGAGGATAGGTACATGGTGGTCATGAAGGGATGGACATGGTCAGAAACAATGTTCAGCTAGCCTGTGGCATTAAACCATGCCCAGTTGGCACCAAGGGGCCTAAAGTGTTCCAAGAAAACATCCCCCGCACCATTACACCTCCACCACCACCAGCCTGCACAGTGGTAACAAGGCATGATGGATCCATGTTCTCATTCTGTTTACGCCAAATTCTGACTCTACCATTTGAATGTCTCAACAGAAATGGAGACTCATCAGACCAGGCACCATTTTTCCAGTCTTCAACTGTCCAGTTTTGGTGAACTTGTGCAAACTGTAGCCTCTTTTTCTGATTTGTAGTGGAGATGAGTGATACCTGGTGGGGTCTTCTGCTGTTGTAGCCCATCCGCCTCAAGGTTGTGCGTGTTGTGGCTTCACAAATGCTTTGCTGCGTTCCTCGGTTGTAACGAGTGGTTATTTCAGTCAAAGTTGCTTTTCTATCAGCGTGAATCAGTCGGCCCATTCTCCTCTGACCTCTAGCATCAACAAGGCATTTGGCCCACAGGACTGCCGCATACTGGATGTTTTTCCCTTTTCACACCATTCTTTGTAAACCCTAGAAATGGTTGTGGGTGAAAATCCCAGTAACTGAGCAGATTGTGAAATACTCAGACCGGCCCGTCTGGCACCAACAACCATGCCACGCTCAAAATAGCTTAAATCACCTTTCTTTCCCATTCTGACCTTCAGTTTGGAGTTCAGGAGATGGTCTTGACCAGGACCACGCCCCTAAATGCAACTCATACAAGAATGTCAGACAGTAAAAAAATGTTTTAAAGGAACTTTGTGTATTTAAATTAATTGATGTAGTAAAAATGTGTAAATAAAAGTGATGAAGGGTAAACACTGATGTGTAAATGATTTAACTGGTAAAAGCAGTAAATTTATTAAATGGAAACAAATCAAAGTTGAAAAATAAGTGGAAAAATGCAGAATAAAAAATTATAAGAAGTATTATTCACTAAATAATACTGGGGCGACAGTGGCAGAGAAGTTAAGTGCTCGCCCCGTGATCGGAAGGTTGCAGAGCCCCGCTCAGTCTGTCGCCGTCGTTGTGTCCTTGGGCAAGACACTTAACCCACGTTGCCTGCTGGTGGTGGTGGTTGCAGGGACCGGTGGCGTCAGTGCACGCCAGGGCAAATGTGGCTAAATCGTAGCTCATCCCCACCAGGGTGTGAATGTGTGTGTGAATGACTGATTGTGTTGTAAAGCACCTTGGGGGGTTCCAGGACTTTAGAAGGCACTATGTCAAATACAGGCCATTTACCACTTTAAACACCGTGGGTATGTTCTACAAAAGTAAAACTAAATGATTATAGGAATGTAAAAATGTAAAAACTATAGAAATCACTAAATTGTTTATCAGAAAACTGAATTCTGATTATAAAAATTCAAAAATTTAAAATTTGTAAAATAAAACTTTAAATAATCTTAGTAGTGCTAACAGCTCTTTGCTCATATTAAACATGTGTCACCCATCAATGCCTACCAAGTCAGTTTGTAAACATAACATTGACTAGGACATAATTACTTGTTCTAGGCCAGGGATGTCAAAGTCAAATACACAGAGGGCCAAAAAAACAAACTGGCTATGAGCCGAGGGCCGGACTGGTTCAATGTTTATTAAAACATATTGAAATGATTGCACGTAGCCTATTGAACCAAGACCTAACACAGTGTAGTATTTAATGATTAAATCAATAATCGGGAAAACATTTGTCAGCAGGCACTCAGACAAGAACAAACTGCCTTCAAAGAAAAATCACATGTCCTGTACATTAAATGAATAAAGTCATATTTTCTTTAGGCTGTCAGTAAATTAAAAAGAAAACATTTTCAACAGGCAAACAGCAAAAAGCTATTTTCCTTCAAAAACAAAACATGTTCCTTATATCAAGATAAATGCATAAATGAAACTGCTTTATAAACTGAAAATGCAATATTGTGCTGCTCTATTATCCTACCAATTACTGCTTCAAATAGTGAAATGAAAAAATATAGAATAAATCAAATTCTTTCTCATGGCTCTTATCTGCAATTTCCCCTGAGTCCATTAACTAAAATACATATAAATAAATAAAATACAATAAAATAAAATAAAATGCAAAAATATATGGCACACTGACAAAACAATACTTCCTCTAAAGAAAAATCACGTCTTGTAGAAACAAATGTAAAATTTTAACTGAATTAAAAACTAAAAATACGTTAATGCTCTGTGATGCTCACTTGTCTGAGGATGAGCCTGATACTTGATGGCGTCTCATCTTTTGTAAAAGCTCATCAATGTTCGGGGCAAGGCTCTGAGCTGAGGAAATCCTCAAGATTGAGTGAAGGTGCTAATCAGTGAGACGGCTCCTGTGTGATGTTTTGTTTAGCTTCATCAAAGAGAACAGCCGTTCGCACAGGTATGTGCTGCCAAACATAGAGAGCGTCTGAGCAGCTTGGATGCGCAGCTCGGCCATTGTGTCGGGAATGAAACGTGCAAACTCAGCAGCACCCACTCTCTCATACTTTTCCTTCAATGTGTCATTGCACTGAAGCTCAATCAACTCCATTAGTAGGTTTGGTGGTGCGCTTTCCACGTCAACTGCAAAAGGATTGCCGAGCAGTTGAAACCTGCAGTTTTGGGCTTCAAAGTCAGCGAATCGGCGGCAAGTATGTTGAGTTTGTCAGCAAACTGTGCACTCGGGAACACGGCGGTAGAGAGCTTCTGTTTCATGGTCTGGCAACTGGGAAAGTGGCTCAAGTTTTCTTTCCGCATCTGCGTCTCCCACAGACTCAGCTTGGTTTTGAATGCCTGCACTGTACTGTACATATCGGGGTGACACGCCCCCGTCCCTGCAGCTGCAGGTTCATCACATTCAGATGGCTCGTGATGTCGCACAGAAAATTTCACACAGAAAATTTTCATCTCGGAGATCTGTTGTGTCTTTCCCTTTGCTTTCCACGAACAGACAGATCTCCTCACGCAGCTCGAAAAATCTTTGCAGCACCTTTCCCTGGCTTAGCCATCGCACCTCTGTGTGATAGAGCAAGTCACCATACTCTGTATCTAACTCGCCCAGAAATGCCTTGAACTGGCGGTGATTTAAACCTCTTGCTAAGTTAACCGCGCGCGTTATGGTGCTCATTACATGTTCCATTTTCAAGGCTTTGCCACACAACGACTCCTGGTGTATTATGCAGTGATAAGCTGTCAGCTCACCTGTGACGTTTCGCTCCTGCATCCTCTCACACATCCTTGCCACCAATCCACTCTTGTGTCCACACATCGCGGGTGCTCCGTCTGTCATCAATCCCACGAGTTTTTCCCAAGGCAGGCCCATCTTATTTACACATCTGGATACCTCTTCATACAGATCTTGTCCTGTAGTTGTGCCATGATAGGACGTAATGCCAAAAGCTCTTCTGTTATGCTCAGGCTGGAGTCCACTCCACGAACAAAAATTGACAGCTGGGCAATGTCAGATGTGTCGGTGCTCTCATCCACAGCAAGGGAATATGCGATGAAATTAGGGCTGAAACGATTCCTCGAGTACCTCGAATAATTCGAGTACAAAAAATCCTCGAGTCAAATTCTCTGCCTCGAGGCTTCGTTTAATTCATGTTTAATTAATTCATGGCTTTGCAATCGCCCGGGGTCATGTTTCACCCGGACCGAAATAAGTGACGCACATGCCCACTGGACTGAATGCACACGGGAGTAGCGAATGTAACTTAACTTTCTCTTAAGCCATGGCGGTCAACTTGAACCCCGGTGGAGTGCGAAAAAGACACAAAATGCCAAAGGTGTGGGACCATCTTTCACGTCGTAAGACGGAAAACGTAGTCCAGTATAAATACTGTAAAATGGATTTAGCCTAGCACAACACCACATCCTCCATGCTGCAGCACCTGTAAATGTCACTTCTGCAAGCGGACTCGGAGCCTCTACAAGATAATGCATTTTAGCCTGTATTTCTATATATTCTGCAGACACTGTGCGACTTTTTCGTTTGTAGCACTCAGTTTCAGCTCACACTGTGCGTCTGGTAGTAACACATCGGACTTAAAATGTGCTAAAAATAGCAGTTTTACACAATATGTCGGACTTTTTACCGTGTTGTTATTGATATTTGTTTTCCCTCGGGATTGCTGCAGGAGGACACAGGTATTTATGAGTGGCGGAGGAAAACGAAAGAAAGTAAATAAATGTTTTGTGATCAGTATAATTTGACAAAACCACGGCAAACATGCTTTCTCGACAGTCCTTGTTATTGTGTGAGAAAAAAAGTGTTGAAATTAAAACGGACGTGTGTTAATAGGGAAACAGCCGGCAAGCTGTTTGCGCATGCGCCGTGAGCGGTTCTGGTTCTGTTTGGGCCGCAGCCGCTCGCAGCGCTACTTCAACAGTTATCCTCCTAGTTTTTGTCTGGCTTGCAGGCTAGCAGATTCTCGCACGAGGGGAAAATCGACTCAGGTTGCTTACCTATTTTTTGCACAGGCATTTGTTTACTGTGAAGCAAAGTTGAAGTGCTGAAGTTTTGAAAACTAATTTTGAATAAAACTAGAAGAATAACTGGCAATTGCTTGCTCATTTTAAGAGGTCTTTCATAATTATAACATGCTATTTGATATAATGGTTTACAAACACAAAAAGGTCATTTATTAGAGTACTCGATTAATCGAAAAAAGATTCGATAGAGTACTCGATTACAAAAATATTCGATAGCTGCAGCCCTAGATGAAATCTTTTCCCTTTCCCACAAGCTGTTCCTTTAGATCGGTGGAAAGCTGGTCTACACGTTCAGCAACAGTGTTTCTGCTCAGGCTCACGTTTGAAAATAGTTGCCTTTTGTCTGGGCACACTGCGTTACAAACTTTAAGCATACGGTTTTTGATAAACTCTCCCTCTGTAAATGGCCGAGCAGATTTTGCGACCTCTTCTGCCACAATAAAACTCTAACCTTTAATGTTAGCTTTATTTAAAGGACTCTAACCTTTAATTTAATGTTAGCTGACCTTCACTGACTCACGTATCTATTGATGAGGTGTAAAATGAAAATTGGAGTTATCAATCCCCCTGACATGCAGTTCAAACTAAACCGGACATAGGAGCGGGCACGCTGGGAGACGAAGTCGAAGCTATCACAGCTGGCCCGTGAGACAATCAGAGCCTCTGGGGCTTTAAAGTCAGCACGACTGCAGCTCGTCGGCGATGTCCCACAGTGGGTCCGCCTCTACCTCAGCGTCATGGCACCAAAATGTTAGATATTTTAACCAAAAGAAAGCACACCAAAGGAGATTGGTAGATTTGATACGCTGCAGCAAAGAGCAAGTGACCGAGAGACTGAAAGGAAACTCGCCCAACCTACTCTGGCTTCTCTTCTCTGACCACAATGTTTTAATTGAGACAGGAAAAAATGAACAAAGACCTATTGATCATAGCCTACGCTACACAATAACAGCGTTGCTTCTAGGCTAAGGCGGGACATTCCAAAAGGGAAGTCGCCTTTTAAAGAGGTGGCTGCTAGCAGCCAAAAACTGCTGAATCACTGAGAACTAGGACTGTTCCTGTTACTGGGCAGATTAACCAACTTCCCCACAGAGACGCAGCATAGGGCATAAACACTTAAAAAGAACATTTAAGATAAGTGAAATATAGAAAACCCTAACAGAAATTAGGCCGTGCCTGTGGCCGTGCGCATGACGCAGCTGCCTGCGGAGCAAATCAATGATCAGCACTCTGCATCCTCTCCACTCAAAAGAACTACAATGTACAAACTACAATAATCATTTCTGGAACTTGTATAGTGAGTTCCTTCGGTCCTGAGTGGGCACTCATGTGATTGTCAAAAATGGTCTTACGGCTAAATCCTTGGCCACAAATCTTACAGGAAAAAGGCTTCCGTCCTGTGTGGACTCTCTTGTGATGGTTTAAAATTACCTTTTGGTGAAATCTTTCACCACAGAGTTCACAGGCAAAAGGCCTCTGTCCTGTGTGAACTCTCATGTGACTATTTAAAGTTGTCTTACGGGTAAATCTTTTTCCACAGAGCTCACAGGCAAACGGCTTTTCTCCTGTGTGGACAGTCATGTGACTGTTTAAAGTTCCCTTAAGTCGAAAATTATGACCACAGATTTCACAGACAAAAGGCTTCTGTCCTGTGTGGACTCTCGTGTGATTTTTTAAAGTTCCCATATGTCGATAATTTTGACCACAGATTTCACAGGCAAAAGGCTTCTGTCCTGTGTGGACTCTCATGTGAATGTTTAACTGTGTCTTACTGTTAAATCTTTTTTCACAAAGCTCACAGGCAAAGGGCTTCTGTCCTGTGTGGACTCTCATGTGATAGTTTAAAGTTATCTTACGGGTAAATCTTTTTCCACAGGGCCCACAGGCAAAAGGCTTTTCTCCTGTGTGGACAAGCATGTGGCTGTTTAAAGTTCCCTTAATTCGAAAATTTCGACCACAGATTTCACAGACAAAAGGCTTCTGTCCTGTGTGGACTCTCGTGTGACTTTTTAAAGTTTCCATATGTCGATAATTTTTACCACAGATTTCACAGGCAAAAGGCTTCTGTCCTGTGTGGACTCTCATGTGAATGTTTAAATGTTTCTTACTGCTAAATCTTTTTTCACAAAGCTCACACGCAAAAGGCTTCTGTCCTGTGTGGACTCTAATGTGAATGTTTAAATGAGCTTTTTTGGTAAAATTTTTTCCACAGAGCTCACAGGTAAAAGGCTTTAGTCCTGTGTGGACCCTCATGTGTCTGTTTAAATATGTCTTACTGCTAAATCTTTTTTCACAGAGCTCACAGGTAAAAGGTTTTAGTCCTGTGTGGACTTTCATGTGATGGTTTAAAGTTGTCTTACGGGTAAATCTTAAACCACAGAGCTCACAGGTAAAAAGCTTTTCTCCTGTGTGGACAGTCAGGTGAGTGTTTAAAGTTCCCTTAAATCGAAAATTTCGACCACAGATTTCACAGACAAAAGGCTTCTGTCCTGTGTGGACTCTCATGTGACTGTTTAAATTAGCTTTTTTGGTAAAATTTTTTCCACAGAGCTCACAGGCAAAAGGCTTCTGTCCTGTGTGGACTTTCATTATTTCTTTCTGGACTTTCCTGCATGAGTCTACATGTTGCTTCACTGTAACACACTTTTTCTTAACCAAACAGCCTAAAGACCTTCTTGCTGAATGACTTGTCAGTCTCATGTGTTTCTGGAGAGACCACTTGTGGAGAAATAGTTTACCACATTCAGGGCAGCTAAAGGGTCTGTTGACAGCCTTAACATCTGACTCAGAAGACCTGCTCTTTTTCCAGCCAATATCTTCATCTCCAGTTTCAGGCCCAGTGTCTAACAGGACAGAGTCTAGATTCACAGCATCATCCTCTTCATCATCTCCACTGACTTCAGTCTCTGATGAATCAGATATCTGTTCATGAAGGTTCAGATATGGGTTCATGCCAGTTTCTGCTCCTCCATCGGTTTTTGCCGCCATCTGCTCAGTTGAGCTGCTGGTTGCAACATCTCTGTCTTCTAATTGCTGCTGATGAAGTTGTGAGAACAGTGGTTTCTCTTCATCTTCCTCACTCTTTATAGGAACTGTAATAAAAAAGTAGAAGTCTATAAAATTAAAACAAGCAGTAAAATCAGGACAAAATACCTAGTGGTGTTTGTGCAATCAATAATGTACATAACCAGTTGCGGCAAGGTGGAGAAACGAGGGCCCGGGCGGGCTACGATCCCCAGAATACCGGGTGAGAGTCACGTGCTAACCAATCAGCAAAAGGGACATCTCCTTGGCCATGTATCCAGGGCACATGATCAATCGAGATACCGTGACACTCACCCTGTCACACAGTATTGGGTAACATATTGCTCGCTTTGGTAACACATTACTTTTTACCAGTAACTAATAATCTAATGAGTTACTTTTTAAGGTAACTCTGTTATACTTATCCTTGTGGGGGTGCCTCACGGCTCAGTCTTGGGCCCCCTCCTCTTTTCCATTCATCTGCATCCCTTGGGACAGATTTTTCCGCTTCACACCATCAGCCATCACATCTATGTTGATTATTGCCAGATTTACTTGGCAATAAAAGAACCAGACGCGGATATTCAAGTGTTAAATTGGCTTTCTGACGTGACGGAATGGTTAGCTGCAGACTTCTTGAGTGTAAATGAGACAAAGATAGAGTCCATTGTTTTCAAGCCTAGAAACTTTTCAGTCGTCACCAAAATTGACCGGTATTTATGGTTTTTACTTTTCCTGGTGTTTATATTTTTACATTTGAATTGTAATGTTTTTCTGGTTGTATGTGGCAACTGTCGAAGGGCGTGCGTGTCACTATTATTTAGATGTTTGTTTATATAATTATTTTGGCTTGGTACTCAACAACACTGTTGGCATCCATTTTTTCCGCCTAGTTGGAAGCTGGAACGCAAAACGAGCCCATTATGTCATTTCCTGCTTGGAAATTCCGAGTTCCGAGGACAACTAGAATGCACAATAAAACTACTAAATGACCCCTGTTCACTGATTATTCTAATATTACTGTTGAATCACTTTAGTCACTAATGCAGCGGTACTCAGTAGGCGTTGTGTCTTGAACCGCCAGGCCAGCACCACCCCGGCCCAACAATCCAGCTACAACCCCCCACCCCCAGACCTCGTGCTTCCAGGGCGTTTTGTTGAGTAACCCTCAGACCATTACATTTGAGTAATCCTGCACTAATGTAATCTGACTCAGAACTTATTTGTCTGCGTGATAATATCAGAGATGTAATGTGATGAAAGAGCTATTTCACCGAAGGTTATTTACCCTCTCTCCTCAGGAAGAACTCATCTGCATGAGACTGCCTCAAGGTCTTTCATTTATTTCTAAAACGGTTTCCTTTCCAGCTCAAGAGAAGAAAGAAGTCGAACTATTTCTTTTTAATAAATCAAAGAACTCTATTTTAATAAAGCTAATCAAACAAAGTGTTAGTCCAATAATAAAATGTGAACCAATCTGTGGAAATGACAATGTTTAGTCTCAGTGGTATTTTAATATTAATATGTAATATGACTTTAATCTAGCTGCACTAGACGTCCTGATCCACGTAATACTTACAGTCACATGACACTTTTTATCTTTCTCATTGTAGGAGCCATATGTGTTGTTTTCATTTTCTTTCTGCATACTTAAAGAGGAGGCTTGGCCTCATTTGATTGGTCAGTTGATTGTGGAAGCACCAGCCTACTTAAGCCAACACAGATTAGACTCAGGTGTTGCTGTGATGGGACAAACAGTTTTTTACTGTGTGGCGAGGACTGTGGCTGTGTGTAACGGACTCTGCGGACTGTCATTGGGGCAAGTAACGCACTCATTGTAAACCACTAACTGCTGTGAAAGGATCATGGACTTTGAGAAAGAAGACAAATAAATAAACATCATCGGAAATAAACACAAGCTGCAATGCTTTTAAACCCACGTAAAGACCACCACCCGCATCAGTAACCAGTAGTGCCAGGGTAGAGGACATTGGTATTACATTTCAAGGTAAAAAACTGTCCCGTCGGCCAAGAAACGTTGGCGTCCTCTGCAATCAAGGCAGCAGAGGCGTAACTGGGTCAGCTGTTTCCTGATCGCTGGAGGAGCAGCGTGCTTCAGCGGTGCGTCTGGAAGAAGCACGCTAGCGTCGAGCTGTCATTGGGACAGAAGGTGTCTCTGCGTGGGATCTGGCTGTCCTTCCCTCATCGCAGAACAAGCAGCACATCAGCAGACAGCGGCGGGCGTTCTGTCATTGGAGCAGAGGTGTCTTCGCTGGACCAGCTGTGCGGCCTCGTCGCTGAAGGGTCAGCGCGCGTCAGAGGGCGGTGCGCAGGGTCCGAAATAAAATTTTTTACTCACCGGCCAAGTTGGCCGGTAGATGATGAAAATCTACCGGCCAAGCATATTTTTTACCGGCCAAAATTCTAAATGATTTAGATCTACCTAAAGCATGTTATTCTATATTATGTTGATTCCAAACAGAGTGATAAAATAATTAAAACATCAAATAATAAGGAAAACAACTCTTTTGTCATTTTTACTATTTATTTATTTTTAGAGATGTTTTTATGAACTCTTTCATTGAAATCTAGTCAGACTCCTTGTTTTCTCTGTCCATGAAGTCTGGCCTCCTGCTTCTGACACCGTCTTTGTGCCAAAGCATTACAGCCTCATTTGGGTCCTAGTCCTTGATCTCTGGAGAACACAGCTGCACCATGAGAATATCTGAAAGTGTGTTAGGGCTAGGGTTGTCACGGTAACCGGTGTAGCGGTAAACCCCGGTAAAAAAGTTGACAATAAATAATAACAGTCTTGTTTAAAAAAAATATATATATATATATATTACCTCGGTGGATTACCGTGGCTGCAGTGTAGGCGCGGTGACCCATACCAGCCACCGTATCATCTGCTGGAAGTTGCCGGCGGCACATGCGCACTTTGTTATTTACGACCAAAACTTTCTTTAAGCTAAAGCTGAAATAATGGCCAGAGGAGATGACAGCACTCGGGACATTTATTATCCCTCAAAAAGACAAAGTCGGAAGTATGGGCATTTTTTGGATATTTGAAGAATGCCGAGGGACAGTTGTCTGTGAAAGGCAGCAACGCTACGTGGCCATCATAATGTAGCCATTGTCTCACGACTCCGCCACCTCCAGTTCGCCACTTTTCACAAAATCTTCTGGTTGCCACTGGTCCTGGTGGTTTTTCTTCCAGTTCGACGAGTTTTCTTTTGGAAGGCTGGCTGACTCCAGTTAAAAACCGCCACATTTCATCGCTAGTTTTAACACGAAGCTAACTGCTAACTTGATAAACTGATTGAATGGGATAGGTGGAAATGACGTTGGATGCGGCGTTCACGTTTCGCGTACATTTGTGTACGTTGCATGCAGGCGGGAGGAGTATCAGAAATCCATGGAAGATGACTGATAAACATAACTAATTTGGTGCAAACATTTACTCGCCAGGTGGCAGGTAGAGCTCAAAAATTTACTCGCCAAATGGAGCAATTTACTCGCATTTGGCGAGTGGCGAGTGTTAATTTCGGACCCTGGCGGTGCGCATCTGAAGGATCGTCGCTGGAGCGAGGGGGTAGTTCTAAAAGTAGTGCATCAGTCTCCCGGTGTTCAGATGGCATGGAGTCATACATAAGAAAGGGTACAAAACCCAAAGTAAAAGATCTTCAACTGCAAGAATCAGAGGTGTCATTTAAGCAAATTGCAAGGGTGTCAGAGTTGGAGAAATCCGTACCAGCATTATGCTTGGATAAACCTGTCTCAGTTGATATAGACCACACGGAGACTGGAGTCTTTATTCCACCAATACGGTCCCTCACTTTGCAAAGATTAAAACCTGCAGCTAAAGAACCAAATGTAACACTTGCAGCACAAAGCAGCAAGAATTTATCTCATGGGGAACAGGAAGTTGGAAACATGTATAGCTTATTGAAACAACAAAATGAGATCACATCCGTTTTGGTCCAAATGCAAACAGCTCAATTACTGCCAAGTAGAGAAATCCCAATCTACGATGGTAATCCATTGCAGTTCAATTCCTTTATTAAGGCTTTTGAACATTGTGTTGAATCAAAAACTAGCAATAAAGGGGACTGTTTGTATTACTTGGAACAATACACCAGGGGGCAACCTAGGGACTTGGTTCGTAGTTGTCTACATTTAACAGCAGACAGAGGGTATGTGTTAGCCAAGCAGCTACTTAAAGAGCATTTTGTGAACGAGCACAAGGTAACTGCAGCTTACATGGACAAGGTGTCTGACTTGCCAAACATCAAGGCAGAAGACACTGCAGCTCTAAAGAATTATGGTCTGTTCTTAAGAGAATGTTGCAATGCAATGGAAGAGTTGCAATATTTAGAAGAGTTGAACATGCCAAGTAATTTAAGAATGTTGGTTCAAAAGCTTCCTTACAAGCTTAGAGAAAAATGGAGAGTTAAAGCAAATGAAATTCTTGAAAGAACTGGTCAAAGAGCACGTTTTCTGGACGTTGTCACTTTCATAGAACATCAAATAAGAATAACTACTGATCCCTTATTTGGGGACATACAGGATGTAACACCTGCCAACAACATTTCAAAGGCGCAAAGATCTTTAATAAAACCGCAATTCAAAAGAAGCAGCTTTGTAACTAATGTTTCTGTCAAAGGAGAATGTCCACAAAACGTCTATCAACCAAAAGATCTAAGTCAACGTGAAGCGGTCTGTGTGTTTTGTACACAAAACGGGCATCATTTGGAAAAATGTTGGGAGTTTGAAAAAAGGTTGCATCATAGCTTATAGCATAGATCATAGCTTAAGAGCAAAACATCACTTTCCACTCAGACTTGCTTCCCCGGATACGAGAGTTCTGATGACAACATCACTCACACATACACCATCCATCTCACGTCTCATTCGCACCAAGACCCATTCATCGCCCAGAGTTTAGAGTTAGTCTTGTTTAAAACTGTTTAGAAATAAATCTTCTTAAACTTTTTAAAGGTGACTCTCTCTTCTCTTGTCTCTCAGTTAATACAAAGTGTTACATAATCCCTGCAATAAAAAGTTCTAATCTTCTGGTTAAAATAACCCAAAGATCCATCAGATGTGATATTTCATATTAAATATGAAATATCACATTTTATGGTTCATTAAATAGATGTAAATTAAATCATTACAGAGATGATAACAAGATGGGGGTGTCGCAGTCACAACTATTTCTCTGTCTGTGTTTCAACTATCCATGGTACTATTGATATGTGCTACTTTGGGAAATGCACTTGGCCAGACCGATTACTAGGTTGTTTACCTGAAGAGACGCTCTATCGTTGGAAGTTGTCGTATTACTGCTTGTTGTATGTTTACCTGACAGTTAGCTTGTACATGGCTTGTAAATTAACGTTATTATACTGTAAACAAGAAAATTATGACAAACACGGTCTTGATTATAAAATAAATCACGACAAACACTGTATATTCTTGCTAATAATTATACTGCAGTTCTGTATTTTTGAGTAAAATCACATATTTACAATAAACCGTGCTTAATAAGCCTGTTACTATACTGAAAACAAGAGCAAAACTCTCATAACACGCTGTGGTAGGAATATTTAACGGGGAAGCACGGATAGTCAGAACACCGGCTCTGCAGATGGACGAGCCATCATCCTGAATTTGTCCTTTAGCAGCTTTAGGAATCTAAAGCATTCCCTCAGAGGAGACTTCAAGCACTTCCTAGGTGGAAACGGAGCGGCCCCGGTGCTTGTTGTTGCTGGTTTTGCTGCACAAGACCGTTTAGTTTGGCTTTAGTTTTGATTCGCTAATTACTTAGTTTTTTAATTTGCTGTGATGGAGACATCTTTAGGGTGGTCTAACTGCAGCGTTCACACCGTGGTTAATACTCAAATCAGGTCATCCTTGCAACCCTACCTGCAGTCTCAGATGAACCAGATGGCTGTTCATGATGGTTCAGATCTGGGGTCCTGCTACTTCCTGCTGTCATCTGGTCAGCTGAGCTGCTGGTTGGAACACCTCTGTTGTCTAGTTGCAGCTGATGAAGGTGTGACATCAGAGGTTTCTCTTCATCCTCACTCTTTATAGAAACTGCAGTGAAAAAAGTAGAAGTACATAAAGTTAAAACAGGCGGTAAAAAAAAGAGGACACAATACCCAGTGGTGTTTGTGCAATCAGCTATATACTCAACCAGTGTTGGGTAGTAACATATTACTTGTTATGGTAACACATTATTATTTACCAGTAACAATCTAATGAGTGAGTTTTTAAGGTGACTCAGTTATACGTTTCATGAGTGTTTTTTCATTTCTAGCTGACTGTGCTGCTCAAATACGTTAGCGACCACACACGGGCAGTAGCGGTTTTAGGCACGGGCAGACAGGGCAGTTGCCCGGGGCGGCATTTTTTCATGACACAAAAGGGGCGCATAAGCGCTGAGTAAAAAAAACTAAAAGTCTGCGCCGCACCGAGGTTTTCTATTCTATCTGTCATATGACAGTGTCTGGATTGGAGACAGCAGGTTGGCGCCCCCTGCAGCTGCAGGCGCTCCTGCTGACTGAGAGGGTTCAGGTATGAAGAAGAGGAAGGGGAGGGGCGCGGCGGGGGAATTCACCTCTGGGTCTTTCCCAAATGAAATGAGCGGGTAGGGGCTGAATCAACTGTATTAACATGGCTAAAGTCAATCACATCTTGATGTTCTTCCATTTAACGCACACTTCATTCATAATATCATAAACACAGGCCGATCATTCTTTCAGGTTTTTCTGAACTGTGTGAAATGGCCGAATAAAAAAAGGAATCATCTATGGCCACTCTCCGACCGTGTAGAGCTCAGCCACCCAGCGAAGTAATCTCGTATCCGCAATCTCGTTCTTTCGGTCACTACCCAAAGCTAGTGACTATGAGTGAGGGTAGGAATGTAGATCGACTGGTAAATTGAGAGCTTCGTCTTCCAGCTCAGGGGTCTCATTTATCAAACGTTGCATAGAATCCTTACTAAAACCGTACTTAAGCTCAGCAAAAAAAATTTACTTACGCCAAGCAGGTTTGTGATCTATCAAACATGGAGTACGCACAGCTGCATGCAGTCTCCGCTTCATAAATTGGAGACTAACGAGAATGTTTCTCAGCTGCATTTTAGTCACATCCCGCCCTCACCACGCCCACTTACTGCCATAAATAGTCAGTGCAAAGTGCCTTGTGGATCTTGTGCATGCACATAAGCCGGCTGTTGCAGTGCTCCGCCAATGACATGGCGACCGTAGATTCAATTCAATTCAATAATTCTTTATTAATCCCAGAAGGAAATTAGAGTTTCAGAACACACAATTCTCAGATCAGACATACATACATACACACACATGACAAGAATTGGTGGCTGTGGTCATTCGCAACCCGAGTCGCGCTACCGTAATAGATCAAGAGGGTTTATATGAGGATAGAGTCGGGGGGAAGGGAAAAAAAGGAACTTCAGAGTTAAGGTTGGTTTATGCTTGACGCGTCCGCGAGGTCTGCACGGCTCCGCGCGGAAAAGTTGCGTCATTTTAACAACCACGCCCCTCCACCGCGCCTCCGCACGGCCCAGAATTTCCGCAACGCACACCTCGGAAAATTTCTAACCACACGGACGGTCGGACGCGGAAAAACATGGCGGACCGGCAAGAACTAGTATGGCAGAGGTTCGTAAATACAGACATTTGTATGATTCATCTCTCAGAGATCACCGGGATCAACATGTTGTTAATAATTCTTGGAGAGAAATAGCTCGCACTGTCGGAAAAGACGAGGACGCTGTTAAAAATGCTGAAATGCCATGTTGTAAACAGTAATTTCTACTTCTACTATGGTGTAGTGTTGGATGCTTGCCATAGAGCTCCATGCTGCCCCCTACAGTTTGGGAGAATATTGGCTCACCGCAGAGACGAGCCACACAAACCATAAAATGCTGCGAGTTGTGAAGCGTGTTCCATCCGCGAGCCGCATCACCGCGCGGAAAGTGAATGCGTCAAGCATAAACCAAGCTTTAGCCTCACCAGGGAGGGTAGCTGTGCTATGCAAAAAAACACCTCAGACAGAAATGCTCACAGATTTCAGACATTACACAACACAAGTGTCCACTAGGTGGGGAGGTAGGGTTGGGACTCTCCTCATTTCGGTGCGTGCAGCCGTAGAGCAGCGCGTTTCAACTCCGTTTGGACAGGGGAGGGAGATAATGGGTTCGAGAGCACAGCGACTCCTAGATACGGTTCCACGGCCTTCACCAGTCACAGTCCCACCCAGGCTGGGATAGGGAGAAGAGTTACCATAGCGACAGCCACATTCTACATTTCTTCTGAGGGGGGAGTTTTTACTTCAGCCTCACAGGCTCCAAGGGCACCAGATTCAGATAAGGATTATTTTTGGAAAGATAGAGATAATTTCCTCTCTGCCTTAGAGTTCTGTTGGTCATCAACCCCTCTAGATCCAATAATGGCATAATTAATCTTTCCCAATCTGTGCTGATCCGTCCACAACTCTGTCCCAGATGGAATCCACCTTCTGGGTCGGAGCCTGAATCTCAGCCAAAGTACCAAGCTTACGACTCATCTCGACAATTATATGAGTTTGTGCGTTCACAGCACGATGCATTCCATCCCTGAGCTCCGGGATTGAGCCAATATTCCTCAAAAGCTCGTTAAAGCACAGGAACTCATAATTTCACTGTAATGTCCATCTATCCAGCACCTGTGTCCATTCTGTCCACACACACGCACACACACACACCAGTACCTGTGTCCATGCTGATGGATGATCCTGAAGTGGTAGCAGGTTCTCTTTAGCCGTGTTTAGCTAACAGCTGCAATAGAAACAAAGCAGGAGAGCTGATTAAGATGCTGCTTCAGAACAACGCAGGAGATTAAAGATCCAACGCTTTGGTTCTGATCAGCTGAGGACAGATCCAGTCTGGAAAAGAAACACACCCACATCACCCCGCTTCTCCTCCAGCTTCACTGGCTGCCAGTCAACTTCAGGGTTCATTTCAATATCCTGGTTCTGGTCTATAGGGCCTTACATGGACAAGCACAATCTTACATTGGTGATCTTCTTAGTCCCTACAGGTGCTGGCCAGTAAATTAGAATATCATCAAAAGGTTGAAAATATTTCAGTAATTCCATTCAAAACGTGAAACTTGTACATTATATTCATGCAATGCACACAGACCAATGTATTTCCGATGTTTATTACGTTTAATTTTGATATTTATAGGTGACAACCAATGAAAACATCAAATCTGGTATCTCAGAAAATTAGAATATTCTAAAGGCCAATGAAAAAATGTTTGTTTCTCTAATGTTGGCCAACTGAAAAGAATGAACATGAAAAGAATGTGCATGTATAGCACTCAATACTTAGTCGGGGCTCCTTTTGCCTCAATAACTGCAGTAATGCGGCGTGGCATGGACTCGATCAGTCTGTGGCACTGCTCAGGTGTTATGAGAGCCCAGGTTGCTCTGATAGTCGTCTTCAGCTCCTCTGCATTGTTGGGTCTAGCGTATTGCATCCTCCGCTTCACAATACCCCATAGATTTTCTATGGGGTTAAGGTCAGGCGAGTTTGCTGGCCAATCAAGGACAGGGATACCATGGTCCTTGAACCAGGTGCTGGTGGTTTTGGCACTGTGTGCAGGTGCCAAGTCCTGTTGAAAGGTGAAGTCTGCATCCCCATAAAGTTGGTCAGCAGCAGGAAGCATGAAGTGCTCTAAAACTTCCTGGTAGACGGCTGCATTGACCCTGGACCTCAGGAAACAGAGTGGGCCAACACCGGCAGATGACATGGCACCCCACACCATCACTGACGGTGGAAACTTTACACTGGACCTCATGCAACGTGGATTCTGTGCTTCTCCGCTCTTCCTCCAGACTCTGGGTCCTTGATTTCCAAAGGAAATGCAGAACTTGCTTTCATCAGAAAACATAACTTTGGACCACTCAGCATCAGTCCAGTCCTTTTTGTCCTTGGCCCAGGCGAGACGCTTCTTGCGCTGTTTCTTGTTCAAGAGTGGCTTGACACACGGAATGCGACACCTGAATCCCATGTCTTTCATGAGTCTCCTCGTGGTGGTTCTTGAAGCGCTGACTCCAGCTGCAGTCCACTCTTTGTGGATCTCCCCCACATTTTTGAATGGGTTTGTCGTCACAATTCTCTGCAGGGTGCGGTTATCCCTAGAGCTTGTACACTTTTTTCTACCACATTTTTTCCGTCCCTTCGCCTGTCTGTTAATGTGCTTGGACACAGAGCTCTGCGAACAGCCAGCTTCTTTAGCAATCACCTTTTGTGTCTTGCCCTCCTTGTGCAAGGTGTCAATGATTGTCTTTTGGACAGCTGTTAAGTCAGAAGTCTTCCCCATGATTGTGGTGCCTTCAAAACAAGACTGAGGGACCTTTTAAAGGCCTTTGCAGGTGTTTTGAGTAAATCAGCTGATTAGAGTGGCAGCAGGTGTCTTCTATATTCAGCCTTTTCAGAATATTCTAATTTTTTGAGATACCAAATTTGGAGTTTTCATTAGTTGTCACTTATGAATATCAAATTTAAATGTAATGAACATTGGAAATACATTGGTCTGTGTGCATTGCATGAATATAATGTACAAGTTTCACGTTTTGAATGGAATTACTGAAATATTTTCAACCTTTTGATGATATTCTAATTTACTGGCCAGCACCTGTACACCCCCAGCAGGTCCCTGAGGTCCAGTGACCAAAGCCTACTGGTTGTGCAGCACCAGGCTAAAGGTCAAAGGTGACAGATCGTTTGCTGCTGTGGCCCCCAGACTCTGGAACTCTCTCCCCCTGAGCCTGAGATCAGTGGACTCAGTGGTCTCCTTTAAAAAGCAGCTGAAGACTCACTTGTTCAAGCTGGTTTTGTATGACCTTCTTCACCTCTCTCTCTTTATTCTGCTTTCCCCACCTATTCCACCTTCCTCAGGATCCACTGATTTCCCTCTTTCCTGTTCACTCTCTCTCTTAACATTTTTTAATCACAGTTGCCTATTTTTGCTCATTTTAAATATATTTTTAAACATTTTCTAAATGCTTTTTTAAAAATATTTTTACATTTTCTGTTTTTGTGAAGCGCCTCGTGATTTTTATCTTGAGAGGAGCTATAGAAATGATATTTTCTTCTTCAGAGTTCACGGACTAGAGCTAACCTCTTTTTCCTCCAGAGTCACATTCAGATTCGGGGCTTTTCCGTCGGAGAGTGTGAGCAGGATGGATGAGAGAGCGAGCAGCGATCCTGCATCATGACCAACTCAGATGAGCGAGTCTGATAGAGGGAACCTCTTCAATCTGATGAAAGCAGCAAAACGAGCGCGTTTCTCAGAGAGGCCAAAGGAACAGCAGCAGATCCAGAGGGCAGGAAGTCAAGAGAAAAGCTTTTCTGACCCATCACCTGCTTTTGGAGCTCCAATTGTCACGAAGACCGCAGAATATCTTCTCTGCTTCTGGAAAGAACTCCACCAAGTTGTTGAGGAGAAGAAGAAAGTTTCCACAGCCTGGTGAGAAGATTTCTGCAGCAGCAGCAGTTAGTCGCTTTAGCTGATCAACTCTCCCAGAGACTGAAGTGAAGACGTTTTTACTGCAGAGCCTCAAATCTTCTCCTCACACACCACAACAACAAGCTAGCTCTGCTAGCAGCTTCCGGTGTAACGTTATTTTGTGCTCCCCCTGTTTCGGGAGCGCGCACTACAGCCGGAGAGTTTCACCCCCTATTTTCAATGCATTTGTAAATGATTTTAATTTGTATCTAAAATCCCTTAAATGTATTAAAGATAACGGATATGAAGATATGTAAACTATTGTGTAAACTTCCTTGAATTGTACAGTAATCCCTTGCATTGTTTAATTCTTTTCTCCCCCTTTTCACTGGCTGTTCAAATGTCATGTGAATACATGTTTGCCTTATTTGTACTGTAAATAAGCTTGTTTTGTAATAATAAAAATAAAAATGCCGGAGAGATAACTTCTGATCAACTTTTCCGGTAAAATTAGTGGCTGTAATAATGTCACGCTTGTGATATTGTTATTTTTTTCCACGTGTCCTAAAAGCAATTAAAAGTTGGGGGGGGGGGGGGGGGGGGGGGGCTCAACGTTTTTTTGTCTGTGAGAGTGAAATTACATTATTTTATATTACTATCAAAAATTATAAATTATATTCCATTACGCTAAAGTGAACATATGAGGCTCAAGTTTTTTTCATTAACATTTTATTGCTTTTAGAAGAACACGTAGATAATAAAACGATATTACAAACATGACATTGGTACATTTATTATTTTTACCGAAAAGATCGATCAGAAAATACAGAAATGATGTGAAAATTGGAGTACGTGCTCTCGACAGAGGGGGGACAGAATATTTCACACATATTTCAGGGGAACAGATTTCTCACTCTTCCGGTGTTGCTGCTAACAGCTGTTATCATAGCTAGCTAGCTTGTTGTTAGCAACCAGAGCTAGCTTGTTGTTAGCTCTCAGCGCTAGCTTGTCGTTAGCTACCAGCGCTAGCTTGCTGTTAGCTACCAGCGCTAGCTTGCTGTGCTGGTGTGTGAGGGGAACCTCTGAGGCTCTGCAGCAACAATGTCTTCAGCTCAGTCTCTGAGAGAGGTGATCAGAGAGCGGCTAACTGCTGCTGCTGCAGAAATCTTCTCCGAGTTTGAAAAAACCATCGTCCGCTACGAGGAAGAGATCGATCGTCAGCGCAGACTGCTGGAGATCAGCTGGAAACCACAGATCAACTTACACAGAATAGGTATGAAACAGCAGCGGGACTCATGTGGTTTTACTGAGGACACAATCTCAGGACAGTCTGCTTGGATCCGTTTGCTGTTCTGAAGCTTTTTGACACAACTGAGCTGAAATCAGTCTGCGGTAAACTTTGTTCCACTTTAGAGAAACAAATCAATAACATTTCAGGGATTTTAGGAAGTTTTCATTTTCAGGAACTCCACTAAATCAGTTTAAAAGAGACAAACTTTAAAGACTTGGTGAACGTTTCCAGCTGATGTTCTACAATCAGAGACTTGTTAAACGAGTCAGTCTGATAGATACTGAGTCCAGTCACACACACACACACACACACACACACACACACACACACACACACACACACACACACACACAGGTTAAGAGTTCATTGTTTTCTAAAACATCTTCAGATGCATCAGATGGTTCAAGTGAAGTGTGCTTTCTTATTGTCACATGACTCAGCTTTTTGTTTGGTCTGTTTGTCTGTCCAGAACTCCCACTGCATTATGTCAGGACAGATGAGGAGGTTCTGACTGACCAGCAGCTCTGGAACCAGGAGAGGACCTCCAGTTTGGAGCAGGAACAAGCAGAACCTTTACAGGAGGGACCAGAACCTCCACAGATGAAAGTGGAGCAGGATGAGCCAGAACCTTTGCAGATTGTAAAACAAGAGGAGCTCTGCATCAGTCAGGATGAAGAGCAGTGTGTACTGAAGCAGGAGACGGTGACCTCCCTTGTGACTCCTGCTGGTGAGGAAAGAGACCACGATGAAGCAGAACCAGACAGACACCAACTCCTTTTGTCACTGTTTCCTGAGGCTGAGATCAGAGCTGCTGCTGCTGCTCCGGGGTCAACAGGTGAGGGGGGGGTGCTATGATCGTTTTCCTTACTGTGATGTCACAATAAGGGACTTCTTGAAACGGCTCCTTTTAAGCTGGGCGGACACCGTGGGACTTTTTCACTCGTAGCACTCAGCTTCAGCTCAAACTGTACGACTTCCTCGCAGGGCAGATCTCACGAGTCCTGTGCTCACACTGCACGGCCCAGTTCTCGGATGCGACCTGACTGCTCACGCTGTACGTCTGGTAGCAACATGTCGGCCCTAAAAATATGCTAAAAATAGCAGTTTTTACTCAACACGTCAGACTTTTTTGTCTTGTTTCACCTGTTGTCCTTTGGGAGTGCTGCTGGAGGACACACAGGGATTTATGGGGGTTGGATGAGGAAAACGAAATAAAGAAAGTAAATCTGTGTTTAGTGATCAGTTTAATTTGACACGAACACGACAAACACGCTTTCTTGACAATCTTTGTGAGTAAAAAACGTGTAGAAATAAAAACGAACAGCGTGTGTTATTAGGGAAATAGCGAGCGAGCGGTGTTGATGCAGGATTGCGCATGCGCCGTGAGCGGTTCTGATACTTTTTGGGTCGCAGCGCCGCTTCAACAGTGCGATACCCTCACAAGGGACGAGCAAAATATTAAACACGCCAGAAGTCTGCGCGAGCTCACGACTGCTGATCGGTAGCTGGTCACGTGGTGTTAATGGCCTCTCGTAACCCCCTGTACACTACACGACGCTCGGCGCTAAACTCGCCCCGATGTCGTGGATTCTCGCACGAGTGGAAAATCGTCTCAAAAAAGTGAAAAAGTCGCACAGTGTACGCCCGGCTTTACTGTGATGTCACAATAAGGGACTTTTTGAAACGGCTCCTTTTTAGCCTGGACAGCTTTATTTGAGTGCAGTTTAATAAATCAAATTGTAATCACCTTTATGATCTGAACATTTATTACGAACAAAACAAGCCGATTATTCGCAGCTCCGTCGTGATTTACTCCTCCGAGTTACACACTGGGTGCACCTCCAACACGACATTGCCAACTGAGTAACTTTGTTGCTGTTTCTTGAAAGTTTTCAGACTTCGTTTTTTTGACTTTTTTTCTAAAACAGCCTAGAAACATTTCTGAGGACCCGTAGCTATTTTCTGCATATGTTTGTCGTCTGTTCCCTGCAGGACGGCAGCACACCAGCTTTCCTTCTGGACATTAGCAGCATTCTCACATTACAGCGACTGACCCATCCTAAACCTTTCTCCGTGGATCTCACTCGCTAGCTAAACCAGCTACGTAAATGAAAGTCACAGCGAGTCGTAGCTGAAGTGGATTTATTTTATCTGAGCTGCAAACTCACACGATGAGCGACAGACACGTGTTCGACTGTCTCACGCCACACCTGCAGTGTCTTACGCTGATGCATACCAATATTTCATCTGTCTGGGCGACACGTTGCTGCTGTACGCACTCCCCTACAGCGCCGCCGGACAGGGCAGCATAGTTATTATGCGGAGTGTGTACTGGTTAGGCTTAAACAGGTGAAACCCTTTTGGTCATAACCTACGAGCAAGTCTATTGACTCTTTAACACGAGGAATCAGGAGTTGTTTTTGTGATTATCTTGTTTCCTCTGAGCTTATTCAGTTTATGACTGAATAAATACATGCATACATAAATAAATCTGGTCATTAAAAATAGTTCATTGATTAACCCAATAATCGATTATCATTTTTGCCATAATCGTGACGCCTCAAACCCGGTATTATAATACCAACCTGGGGTCAGCCAAGCAGTCAGGGAGGAGCGACAGCTTGGCTCATCCCCGTCTCTCTTTTCTCTTTCTTGCGTGTATTCTGGGGAGGGTTGGGCATCGAGCATCGAGTGGAACCGGTTCCAACAGTCAGTTTTTCACGGAATCGTTCAAAGTTGTTTTTTTTTTATTCCTAGAATGCCGACGGAAGACGAATCTGCGGCTGATCTCCGTGAAAAATAAACGTGATCTGCAAATTGTGATCAACGCTTTTCAGAGCTGATCACACCAGCTGTCTGTGTGCAGCACCGTCCCCCCTCCCCCACCCAGATATAAACAAACGCGTCTACCGAACTTTTACTCCGTAATGTAAACTTTAACTCCTGCAGCGTAGAGGAAACGTGTTAAATACGTCAACACGGTGGATTTACTAGAAGCTTTAAAGAACGAACTCTGGACGGTGTGAGGTGAGTTTGTCTCACTGCAGAAATAACAACACACACGGAGCGTCAGCAGTCAGACGCAGCCGCTCACCAGCACTCGTGTGTGTGTGTGTGTGTGTGTGTGTGTGTGTGTGTGTGTGTGTGTGTGTGTGTGTGTGTGTGTGTGTGTGTGTGTGTGTGTGTGTGTGTGTGTGTGTGTGTGTGTGTGTGTGTGTGTGAGCGTCTGAGGGCTGAACAATAACCTGTAGAATAATTAAAGTCATCATGCTAGAGCAGCTTCTCTGTGGTGGACCACACCAGCTTCTGCCACAATAAATAATAATTATAATAATAATAATAATAAATAACATTTTAATTTCCTTTCTGAACTATTTCTCTTGAGAGTTTTAATGTTTAAAATCTGTGAGATTGTTACTGACAGCAGCTACGTTTACGTTTCACTTCCTGTTCTGACTGAATGCTGCTGCAGCATGGAGGTGTAGTTCTCAGTCATCCTGGACGTGATCATCCTGAGAGTTTTAGCTGAAAACAGCTGGACGTTTCTGGATATGTTGGAGACATTTAGCCTCTCATCCCAGAGGCTTCTCCCACACTTTGGTTGTGGTCAGAAACAAACACACTGGTGGTGCTGCAAGTCTTTTTCTTTTTCTCTCCAAAACATGTTTTTGTCTAAATGAAGGTGATTCATAGAATTAAAATTCATGCTGAAGTTAAAATTTCATCCAGTAGGACCTGTGGTTAGCTGGCTCATGTAAAACATGTCACGTCTACAAAGAACCGGAATCGGGAATCTATAGGAATGGAATCGAAAGGAGGAATTGGAATCGTTCAAAATCAAACGACGCCCAACCCTAATTCTTGGCCGAGTTGTGGCCCCCCCTCACAGGTGTCTAGGAAACTCCCCTTTTAAAAGCTGAGGCCTAGTCCACATATAGCCGGGTTTTTTTAAAAACGAATATCCTTCCCTCCAAAAACTTGCATCCACACCACCGCGTTTTAAAAACAAACTCTGTCCACACGTACCCGGATAAATACGTTGTTAAGGACATGCCAGACCTGTAGGCGGCAGTACTTCCCCCGTTCTTAACCTCGTCCTTCGTCTGTGGTCTTCCACAAGGAGCAGTAATTCCGCTTGCAAAAACAAACAAGCAGAAAACGCTTGGACAATTGATGGATCGGGTAGTGACAGAGCGCAGCTCTGAAGGCTTCCGTGAGGCCGGCTAGTGTAAACACAGGTCGCACACGTGATGTCAGCATTTTTTGTCGCGGAAAGTGACGTTGCGGACCTTAAAACTCCGGTTTTGTCCGTCCACACGCAGACACCCAAAACGGAGAAAACGCAGATCTTCACTTTGGCCGGAGTTTTTAAAAAGATCCGTTTTCGTGTGAAAAAACTCCGTTTTCGTGTGGATGGCAGGCGAAAACGTAGACAAATATCTACGTTTTGGCAGATCCCCGGCTACGTGTGGACAGGGCCTGAGTCTCAGCTGGTGTGGTGCCTCAGCGTGCCTCTCTCCAAGGTGCTGAAGTGGGACAGGCCGGCTGGAGAGAGTTCAGAGGGTTGGCGGTGTCCATAGTCCTGAACGAGCAGAGTGGCTGTAGAGAGAGAGAGCACAGCTGGAGATAACCGTGTCTGCGGTTCCGGGATATTTAAGTAGCCAGGGGTCGTAACGAGCACATTTCATGTAGAGATGAAATTCAGTGTTTTGTCCAGCTGCAAGTTCAGAGACGACGTAAAACAGTAGATACAAATGCACAAATAAAATTAGATGTCAGAAATAAACAATGACGAAGTTAAAGGATGAGCAGTTACAGTGCAGAAGGTGCAGCAAAACAATCATTCAAACTTTGATTTTAAAGTTACTAAAGTCACATCTGAAGTCACGAGGAAGCGGAGTCCATCTGTGAGCAGCATAGAAGCTAAAAGCAGCTTCTCCCTGTTTGGTTCTGACCCGGTTCTACCAGCTGACTGTCAGACAAACACTAAAACATCCAGGACTCACAAACGCCATGCTCAGCTCATTACAATACCCAATAGGGTCCTGTGTCGTACACAAGTATTGATGCAATGGCAATAAATCACACCGCCCACTCTGCCTGGACCTCAGTCCATTTCCTTTAATCACATTTCATAGGTAGGTTGTACCTTGCTGCTCCACTATTTCTGGAAGCAAACTGTCTAAAAACCTAAAGTTTCAGAGTAACATCATCCCGTCATCGGTGCATTAACATGCAGACTGTGGTGTCTTCGTTTGATACGTGTGACGAGACGGCCGTAACTGAAAGTTTTTAATTACTCGTTGGAAACTCGGAGAACAGACATGGATGAAACCATACAGCACCACCTTACAGGCCAGGGGACCGTACCAACTGCAGAACATGCAGGGGGAAACGCACTACATCATCCCCCTTTTCACTCATTCACTGCCAATGATGACAAGTCGTCATTTGCATGTTTTTACCGTGTGGGCATCGGAACGAGGCCCCCCACCGTGAGAACAAACATCCCAGCTCTAAACCCGATGTTCATACGCGTACGTCACGGGATCAGGAAGCAGAAAATCCATGTTAGGACAGGGGTGGGGAACCCTGGTCCATCGAGGGCCGCTATCCAGCATATTTTAGTTTCAACCCTGCATCATCACACCTGATTTCAATCAGCAGGAGATTAACAAGCTTCTGCAGAGGCTGATGAGCTGCAGAACAGGTGAATCAACCACTGAATCAGAAGCGTTGGAGCAAAGACATGCAGGACACCGGCCCTCGAGGACCAGGGTTCCCCACTCCTTTGTTAGGAGATCGTTGTGGGCCGCTGCTGTAAAAAAAGTGAGG